TGTATACCATGAAGTACTATTCAGCTCTAAGAAACAATGGTGATATAGCACACCTTATATTTTCCTGGTTAGAGCTGGAACCCATACTACTAAGTGAAGTATCCCAAGAATGGAAAAACAAGCACCACATATACTCACCAGCAAACTGGTATTAACTGAGCAGCACCTAAGTGGACACATAGGTACTATAGTAATAGGGTATTGGGCAGGGGGGAGGGGGCGGGTATATACATATATAATGAGTGAGATGTGCACCATCCGGGGGATGGTCATGCTGGGGACTCAGACTTGTAGGGGGAGGGCAGGAATGGGCATTTATTGAAACCTTAAAATCTGTACCCCCATAATATGCTAAAATAAAAAAAATTAAAATTAAAATAAAATAAAATAAAAAAAGGACCCAGAAGAACAAAAATTAATTACTTGAGATTGAGTAACAGATGAAGATGATGTTTTATGACTTTTATTTAAAACATTCTTGGTTCTTTACTTAAATGTTCTTTTTTTTAGTTGTAAGGAAGTTTTCTCTCTTAAGCTATTTGTAGTTTACAACAATTTGGTAAAGTGTACTTTTGTGGACAAAAATGGAAGCATTTGCTTTTTCTCTACTTGATTCTCCCAAAATGTGAAAAATGTTTATGAGTATTCTTAATTTTCATAACACTATGGTTATTTGCATAAGTTCAATAAAAATCTGCTCTCTCTTATGACAGAAAAGATTGAGACATTGGTTATATTACTAAGGCTTTTCCTGAAATGTTATATTTCAGAATGTACATAAAACTCTTGGAGTCCAGGATTTCTAGCCTGACAGTGAGTGAGTAAAAATTGTCACTTCCTGGCGGGCCCAGGACTGGCACCTTAAGCCTGCAGATAAAATCTAAAGTCTGCCTTTGTCTGGATTCCTAAACATAAGGGGTTTTAAATCTGAGATCCTATGGAATCAATGTAGAGATAAAAACTTATGTTTCTTAAAAAAATCTATAATATACCTGTTATTATGTTGTATAGCCCTGTACATTGTTTTGAAGTCCTTATCTACCTAGAGACTAGATCTTGAATTCTTCTATATTCCTCCAATCTAACCTTCTTCCATGGCATTACTAAAAATGAAAAACTGTTCCTAAAGCCCTATAAGCTGAAACTAGATCAATCTTAAGAACCCTTGTGTCTGATGTACGGGCTACAATAAAAGTTCACCAAACCACCTTATGCCATAATCAGAGATAAACTCCAAACCAGAATAAGAAGTGGACCTTTTCACACTATAGACAGCTTTTCTCAATATATCAGAACAAGACTCCACATCATGAGACTCTTATACCCATTAATAGTGCCTTTTTTACTAAGCAGGTTGGTGTTGTAATTGAAATTTCACAACCAGTGCTTTTTGTTGGTAACTTCAACAGAACCTGACCTAAGAGATACTTTGGTATCCATTGGTTAACTAAGAAAATATCTGTGCTATTGCTAATACTACATGCTGTACCTGGATACATTCCTGTGGGAAAGTTGAGACTCATATATACCAAATAAGAAACCAGGCCACGTGATCACAACAAGGTCTCACCTGATTCCCTATGCCCATTTGATTCATTCAATTGCTTGTCTTTAAGCCTAGGTTCATGGTTCGAAACTGTTACACAAACTGAGAATGTAAGTTAACTTTATATTTTCCCTTTTTAAAACTTTCTATATGTTACTCATTAAATTTTTGCAGAAGTACAACGTGTAACAGAATAATGCCAGTCCAGTACTTCAAAATAATAGAAAAAGCCTATGGGTCAGACAAAATTGAACTTAATATTGGACTCCAGGTAGATTTAGCCTGAGAGCCACTCTCTACAACCTCTTTTGACACCCAAATGTAGCTAGAAGAGTTTGACACTGACTCCGAGTTGCCAATCACTCCCTCCAACATGGAATGAGACCAGCACCAGGACAAATCCATCCTGGCACTGAAGGATAATCAAACCTTAGACACAGGACGACTGAGCAGTGATGCTGCCAGAGAAAGGTTTTAATCAAAAGGGAGAAATACAAAAATTGTCAGCACCAAAACAGAGTCATATGTATTAAAAAACAAAAAACCTGACAAACTGAGCTGCAGAAGTCTATAAAGAGAGGGTTCTCCTGCTTGTATATGTAAACAAAAACTATCACAAAAGTCTTAGCAAAAACCACAACCTTGCACAAAGGCCATTGCAAAACTTACACAAAAAATACTTCTGCAAGAACATCTGCCCAGCAACTACCTGTTCCACACCACATTGGTTTCACCCACATTATTGATCTTCGTAGACAAGAATAATGAGCTCAAAAATATCAGAAATCCTCCTCATTTTTACCCTAAAGACTACTTTATCTCCCTGAATTCGCGCATAGTTGACTATGGCATGCATATTCCCGTTGCAATGCTCTATTCCTGAATAAACAGTTTTCTTTTAGAGAGCCTGTCTGTTTGTTATTTAGGTGGACTCATACAAGAAAGTGACACTAAGGCTGTTTTGGGAATTCACGGAGATATTGCATGTAGGGACTGGGCACAGTGTCTGATACAAGAAGTACTCAGTAAACGTCGCTCTCTGTAGGAAGGGGTTGCTCAGTCCTTAGCCACTCCTGAGAAAGTACATTCCAATGAAAACCTAATTCCCTGAGACCATCCACACGGCTGTGCCCAGTGAGAATGTGGCAGTGACGGCCCCTGCCCCGTTCTCTGCACTCATGGAAAGAGGGGAGATGGCCAACAAGCCTCCTGGGGGACAGGGGTCATTCTGGGTTCAGCAGATGGCCCTGGAATCAAAGACGTCATGGAACATAATATAATCAGATCCAATGAGTGTATCGAGGGCCAGGTGAGGAGGCTGCCGGAAGTCCAGCTGTGCCCAGGAGCTCGTGGGGAGGAGCCCTCCCACGTCAGCGCCGAGGCCGCTGCACTGTGGACAGGCCACGCCCTGTGGTAGAAGCACCCCTCCTGCCTGACAGATGCCAAATTATAGGAGATTTTTTTTGTAAGTGTTAAGCCCTTCCACCTGCAATGGTGCCTACTACAACCACCGTTTTGGCTCCGTTTTACAGTAGAGAAAACAGAGGCTCAGAACAGAACACTCCTCTGGTCGAGGTGACAGGCAACGTGTGCCTGAGCCGGGGTTCCAGGGCCCAGGCCTGGCGGCCGGCATCCTCTCTCAATCCAGGGCAAATACCCCGGCCTGGGCAAGCTACTGGTACACCCGGCCAGGCCCAGAGCCCGGGCTGCTGCCACTTGGCAGGAGCAGACACACGGGCTGGGGGCCTCAGCGCTCCAGGGAAGGGAGAGCTGGGAACAGGGTGGGCAGGTGCAGCTGAGACGCAGACCCAGCCCCCAACCCAGCCTCAGCGGGGTCAAGCCCTGATCTGGGACGCTCTTGTGGCCCTGGGGGATTTACTCCTCCCCACTCTGCAGATGAAGGGAGGGGTGGCCAGGCTCTGAGTTAGGTCCTTCTTCCACCTGTCCTCACCGCTGTCACCCACAGTGTCCACAGGGAATGGGCACCACGCACTGGAGTCTTGGCTGGCTGTGGAGAAAGGCGGCGATGTGTGGGGAATGTGTGACTCAGAGGTACCAAGCGGACAACTTACCAATAAAGTCACTTTCACTCATCTGGAATCTGCAAATGACTTGGTCCTGCCCCTGCGTATTCAGAAAGCCAGATCCATGAACAACCACTTCATAGGATTCTGCAGACACAACAGCCAGAAGTCTGAGTGAGGACGGGTGGAGCGCTGTGCGCACGCACACCTCGCCCTTCCCGGCGGTCCACCCAATACCGATGGCCAGGGCGCTCCTGCAAGGGAGAAGCTGTGCCTCTACCAACATGTGTGTCCACCAGGCCGAGTCCTCATCTGGTGTCACTGAGGGTGCATGAGGAGGCGGCTGGGCCTTGAGCACTCAGAGCCCTCTCCCCACCCTCCCTGGCCCAAGGAGCCGTGAAAGGCACCTGCACAGGGGCCGACTGAGCCGGGCCTTCCCCACCCTGGGGTCCCACGGTGCACCCTCAGGCCAGAGGGCAGCAGGCCAGGCCCTCCCTCTTGTAAGGCGTCAGAGGAGCTAGGACAAGGCGGCTGAAGACACCCTGTCTCCTGTCTGAGCTGGGCACCCGGGCCTGATGTCTGCTGGGCTGCTGCCCATGTGGGGGTGTACCCTTCTGTCTTTCTGTGTGCCTGTGGCAGGCTGGAGACCCCAGGGGCAGGGCCTGGACTCAGTGTGGCAGGTGAGACACCCAGGACACTGCTCAGGAGAACCCATCCCAGAACAAGTGCTGTCTTGGCTGAGCTTCCAGAGACCTACAGACGATTCCTGCTCCCCTGCCTCTTCCTGGCCCACCGCACTGCCCCCACCACGCTGGGGTTCAGCAAGCACTTCTCCCCAAGCGGGGCTCCTGTCCCTCAGGCGAGTCCCACAGGGAAACGGGAGGCAGTGGGAGGGCTGGCCCAGGAGCCCGCCCGCCTTCCCGCAGGACTCCAGGCTGCTCGAGCGCACTGGGCTCTGCCCGGCCCGGGCTGGCTCATTCCTACGCCTGATGGGGCCAGAGGCACCCCAGATGCTCCCCAAGGAGCACTGCCTCTGGCCCCTGTGTCCAGCCTTCCTTTGGCACCATGGCTCACAGGCAGAGTCTGCAGAACCTCTGGCGGTGGGCAGAGCTGGCCTGCTGACATGCTCTGTCAGGTTTTCTGGTGCCTCAGAAATGGGAGCAAACATTAAAAGCTGGAACATTTTCCCTGACAATGCAGATTTCTAGCTTTTCTGGAAAACAGGAACAGCAGCCATCCATGGGTTTGTGTTCCTCCCTGACAACCACTGGTTGGGGCCCAAGGGCACAGCCCTCCTCAGATGGGGGAGCTCCCAGGAACACCTTCACTCCAAGGCCCTACAAGGACAGCTGACACTGTCCTGGCTGGGCCTGGCCTTCCTCTTGCTCATGGTGTCTGCATGGCCCCTTGAGCTCCCACCCGATGGCCCAGACCCTGCCTTGGAGGAGCCTGAGCCACGTGGGAGCCTCAGCATATGAGAGGGTCCAACCTACACTTAGGGCTGCAGGAAGTCAGAGGGGCTGTCAAGCAGGAAACGCATCCAGGGGAGGTGTCCTGTGAGGGGGCCTCAAGGGACGGGTGGGCTCAGCCCTTAAGCAAGGGCTTGCAGAAAGCTGGGGCCCCTCAGCCCTGCCTCTGCACAGCGGGGACCCAGAACGCAGACTGGCCCCTGGAGGGCCTGGTGGCCCAGCCAAGGTACCTCAGACACCCCAGCCAGGCTGGGGTGAAGGAGGTGGTCAGCTCAGACCCTCAGGCCCTGTGCAGAGGCTGGGCTGGAGGCCAGGCCTGAGGCACGGAGGCCCGCCGAGGCCTCTGCCATGCTGGGTGCGAGGCCCAGAGGCTGAGTGCTGGAGCCGGAACGGCCTAGCCTCCCCGGGCCTCCCTTCCCAGGCACACTCCTTGGTTCTCAGGGCCCCCCTGGTGCAACGGCTCCTTCTACTTCGCTTGGGGTCAGGATGCTGCCTTGACTTTCCCTCCACGGGACTGTCCCCCTGTGTGGGGCAGCTTTGCATAGATCAGTTGACAGGTCAGGGCTGGGACCGCTGGCCACGCAGGCAGAGGCAGTGTGCTGAGCTGGTGGACAGAGGGCACCTGTCACCTTGACTCAGCTGCTGGGAGGGAGGAGTGACAACTCACATCCTCACCTGGGCCGTGACAGGGCTGCTCCGACGCCACGGACTGTGTGTCCAGAGGACATGCGCGGCTGCAGCTGTCAGGCCGGCTGCACGGCCAGGCTGCTTTACGGCAGGAGCAGCAGGAAGAGACCCTTCAGGGCACGGGGGTCTCTCTACCCCCCAGCACTGCAGCCTCTACCCCACCCCCACCCTTCGCATGGCACGGGGACTGGGACCAGAAGCCAGGGGCAGAGATGGAAATATCACACCAGCTACTGCTTCTCGGGCCCAACCAGCTGCCAGTCCTGTGCCAGCCTCCGCACAGCCCACGGCCTGTGCATCTCACGACACACCTGGCGGCAGCATCTCCGCTCACAGGAGCCTCCGCTGGAGCTGGCGGGCGTCAGGCAATTGCTCCAGGTTGCGTGCCCGCAGGCGCAGAGCTCGCACTCGAGCATGGTGTGTCTGTCCCCACAGCCTAGTGCAAAGGCACCTTCCAGTTAGGAACATGGAGGCAGAGCCTGCAGCTGGTCTGGACCCAGCTGCACCCAGCTGAGCACTGTCCCCACGAAGGAAGGACACCCAGGGCAGCCGCAGTCATACAAACACCTGTAGTGTGGGGACCCCGCCTGCACCCACAGAGCTCAGCACACAGATGTCACCACCTTACACCACACAGGGCGTCCTCTGCACACCAGTGGGGCCTCAGCTTGGCGAGGGTGTCCTTGTCACTTTCCTGACCTCAGGACAGGCGCTGGCATAACCGCTGGGGGCTGTGAGCCCTGGGGCCTGTGTGGTGCCTTTGTCAGGCCGTGCAGGTCCCCTCCTGTCCCTAGCGGGATGTGGAGGTTGGACTGTGCCCGACTCGTTTTCTTCCCCATTGAGACAAGCGCCCGGTTTCTCTCCCCCTGTCATTGATGTGGTGAGTGACAGGGACGTTCCAGGTCCTGCAGCAGCCTGGGCTTCTGGGACAAGCCCTGCTGGTTGCTCTTGTCTGTTTATACGTTGTGTTGTGCTTGCACACACCACATGCACACAGGCACAACACACAAAAACACACCACACCACACACACCACACACACCTCACACACAGCACACATACATGACACACACCACATAAACATGCCACACCAGAAACATACACACCATACAAACCATAAATACACCACATATCACCCACATCACACACAGCGCGCAACACACTCCCACACATACCACACGTGTGCATCCGCATCCACAGCACACCTACCACACACACACTCTCACTCTCTCCCCACACACACCCTCCCTCCAATCACACCCCACAGATACATACAACCCACACACACAGCATGCAAAGACGCACACATACACACCTGCCAGCCCACAGCAATGACTCCGGAGCTCTTACCTCCTATACACACAGAGGAAGGCTCCACATATTTGACTTCAGTACACATCTTTGAACTCATCTGTAACAGAGGGAGGGGTGGACCAGCGTAGAGGTGTGAGACTAGGGACACTGGTGCCCGGCCGCCCACCACTCCCAGTAGCCCCCCTCACCTGGTCAACAATGGATCTCAGGGCTTTGAAGCCTGTGTCCACTGTAAACGTATGGGCTTCACTGTCCGCAATTTGTGTTATCTGCAGAAAGAGGAGGGGCTTGGACCTGCCAGCCAGGGCTGAGGATGCTGCAGGTCCCCAGGCCCAGGAGACAGTGTATTGTCCTCATGCCATGGGGACAGAAGGATGGCAGACTCTGAGGGCCAGTCCTTGGCTCTGCCAGTACTCTCAGGGAGTGCAGAGCTTTTCGCTCTCCCTACACTGTGGGAAGATGAACAAAACATCTTGCTAGTCAGTTCTGCAGTGGCCATCAGTTGGCCCAAATCCCTTGGGAAGGATTACAACAGCAGCTTTTGAGTGGCCCTGAGAAAACTGCCTGTGACACATTTCCCCAACAGGGCTCAAGACTGGCATGTGGTTACCTGCTCTGAATTACCTGTGATTTGTCATAATCGGCCACACCCACAGAGTAAACAGTTGCCTCCAGGCTCCGTGCCTTGTTAGCCTAAGAGGAAGAAATCACTGAGTAGAAATCACCAAATATGGAGAGCAAATGCCAGCAATGATGGACTGCACTCACTTGCTCCAGGCTCTGTGTAAATGCCTCTGGCTCCATTGTCCCATCAGTCATAGCGATAATTGTGCTGGGAATCTTTTCAGCTACAGGGGAGGCAAGCAGTGGCCTGGTCGGCAAAGGCACCAGGGTGACCTCCAGAAGCTCCAGGACTGCCCCAGGCTGCCAGGGCCACAGCACTGACACTTCAGGACATGGCCGGGTGCTGCCCGCACCTCATCCTCCTGGGGAGAGGCTGCCCAGACCTGAGCACCCACCACTCAGAGACTCCCAGAGTGAGAAGGGCCTCAGCCCAGGACCCATTTTACAGATGGGGACAGAGGCAGTTCAAGGCCTTCCCAGTAGGCCACCTGCCACGCCACAACCCTCTGCCTGAAGGGCAGCCCCAGCCACCGCCCACAAGCGCAAGCCTGGGCCGTGGCCAGAGGAGGCCAGCCAGGCGCTCCTGTGAAAAGCAGGCTCAGAGGGCTGCGCAGGGCGGGTCCTGCTCCTGCCGGCAGCGGCAGCGCTGGACCCGGGTCAGGACTCCAGGTCAACCACACCGGCAGGGCCCACGCCTACCCGACACCCTCCCCACCAGGCGCCTCCCTCCCGACAGGAGCCGCAGGTCCACAGCGGAGGGACTGGTCGGCTGCGCCCTGCAGCCTTTGGCACCATCTGAGACACCGTCATGGGGTGCAAGTCAGCTGGAGGGGACACTGGACAGGACAAGGACAGAGGCGCCCTCGAGGGAAAGCGGCTGTTCTCTCAGGGTCCCCGGCTCCCCCCTTTTCTTCTCCCCCGGCCCAACTGCAGGGCCACACCGCCTATTTGCTAAGAACCAGGGACAGACACACGTGTGATCTCAGGAGTTCTCAGCGCACCCTGGGCTGGCCACGCTCCCTGCACAGGGAGGAGCCTGGAGCTCAGAGCGGGGGCGCCACGTGCTCCACCGGCCACAGACCTCCCTGAGCCCAGGTCTGCCCCCTGTACCTGACGCCATGCAGGCAGCAGGCACTTACTTGTGGATTTGGATCTTTCAATCTGCAAAATTGCCTGCAAGGAAATGAAGAAATATGGGGATGGATGGTGAGGTGAACCCGGTAACCCAGTAAGACCTTGGAAACTAGAATAGACTCTTTGAGATTTAGGGGTCTGTACCTTTTTAAATCCTTCTTGCATGAATGTGTGTCCTTCAGGAACCACCTTCTCAAGTATTTCAAGACCTTGCTTTATTTTTACTCTGAAAAAAAATTTTAACCAAGGGAGATTGAAGTAGACAGAGTTGACTGCTAGAAAACCAGCTCCCGACCTATGCTCCAGCCATTTTCCACTGTGCAGACCCAGTTGGACAAGGCAGGGGAGCAGGCAAGTACTCTGACCTGCCCATTCTCACTGTGACTTGGACAGCAGATTTCACGACCTTCTGAGCTCCTCCCTGTCGCAGGGACGCAGGCCTTGGGGACATCGCTAAGGGCCCTGCTTGTACCATCTGCGGTGAGTGTCAGAGCTTCCCAGGGATGTGCAGCTGCGAGCCAGCCTCTCCCAAAGTCCTCCCAACTTTCCAAACCCTGACCGAAATCCTCACCCTAACCCAGAGAGGTGCAACTGCCAGTCAGGGCCTGGCAATGGGGCCGGCCATCCTAACCCCCGCTCTACCGTAACCCAAGGCTGAGAGAGGCAAAGGTCACCTGCTAAGCCCCCAGGCCTGCACCCACCCCCACGGCCTCACAGCCTGGCCTGACTCCATCTTCCTCCCCTTCATCCTGCCGAGGAAGCAGCAAATCTCACTCGGAGCCCTCGGGCCCTTGGCGGCCTGTGCTCCCGCAGGAGGGCAGAGGTGGGCGCGCCGGCTCTGGGATGAGGCCTGTCAGCCGCTGTTAGAGCCGACAGGACTCGGTGGGCAGGCGGGGCTGGTTCTGGTGGCAGGACTGGGCCAGGAAAGGGGGGCCCAGCGTCTGGCTAATCCAATGTGACAGGCTGAGCCAGCACAGCAAGGCTGAGCCACGTGTGGACCCTGAGGGCCTGCCCCGCGCTGCCGGCAGAGAGCGGCCAGGGCAGCTCTGAGGGCCCTGCCCCGCCGGCCCAGGGAGGAGGCCGTGCCCTGCGTGCCCAGGGGAGGCCATACTGGGCTGGGCCCAGCCCAGCTCCCACTGCTCTCTGGCCACCGGCCAGGTCCTTCCCCACATCCTTGATTCTCCCCCGTCAGGCCCACTCAGGTCTCTCCCGACCCACAGCACGGGACACACCCCCAGCCGCCGCAGCCCGCGGAGCGGCACGCCTGCCTGCTCCCCTCGAAGCTGCCCGGGCGGCCCAGGCACCACGTGGTGCGCAGCGCCCTCTCCTCCCCGTGCCGCACCCGCTCCGCACCCCGCTCCACGCCTCGGCTCCCCAAGGGGTCCTTCACCTCCTAGCCCACCCGGAACCCTCAGGACACCCACCGCCAGGCCAGGCTCCCCTACTGGGACCCTCCAGCCGCCTGGACACTTGCTCGTCCTGCCGCCCTCTAGCACCCCAGCCTGGCCTCTGGCTCTGGACCCACCCACGGGCTCCCCTGTCGGGGACCCGCCCCGGACCAGGCACCCTGCACTAAATTCCCCAGCACTGCCCCGCGCTCAGACCGGCTCCTGTCCCCACTGGCCAGGGCCGAGAGGGCCAGGCACAGAGCCGTGCCCAGCACAGGCTGTGTTCACCAGGACCCACACACACCAGGCCCCTGGGCCCCGGATCCTCACAGCCACCTCCCAGGAGAGGAGGCAGGACAGAGGGAGGGCAGGGACAGAGGGAGGGCAGGGACAGAGGGTGGGAGGCGGAGGACTCGGGGGCACAGGACTCTGCAGGTCCAGTGCAGCCAGGGGTCAGAGGGCACGGGGGAGCCGGGGCTAGCTGCAGGGTGCGCACTGAGGGATGCCCTGGCCAACTCACCCTGTTCACTGGAAGGTTCTCCACTGTGGTCTTGGGGAACCCCTCAGCTGTCTGGAGCTCTGCCACCCAGCCCACCAGGATTCCCTTGGGGAGATCAAAGTCAAAGACTTACGGGTCTGAGGTGAGTGGCAAAACGATGTCACCCTCAGTGGAGTAGGTGATTAAGGATATTCTCGTTTCTTGGCTGGGGAGGAAATACATGCCGGTGAGAAGCCACAGGCACAGGCTCCAGTGGGCATCAGTGAGCTGCCAGGGAGGGGTGAGCACCACCCGCCTGCTCCCCACCCCAGCTCTTCCTCGCTGGGGCCCGTGTGGAGCACAGGGGGGGCAGGTGAGTTAGTGAAGGGATCTGAGGCCTGTGGAGGTGGGGCCCCCGGAGGCAACCTGCTCCGTCCCTGCACTCCAGCACCCAGATGCCCACACGCACCCGACGACCCACACCTCCACCAGCGCCTCCCTCCCACTGGCCTCTCCTCTACTGGGCAGCTCCTGGTCCCTTCACCCATCTCAGAGAAATCGCCCTCCCTCCTGGCGACCACGCACACCTCCTCCCTGTCCTCCCCTGACCACTGCCTTCCTGCCTGCTGACCCCTGTGCCCCTCAGGGAAGCTGCTGCCACATGTCCCAGCTGCGCTCCTGCTCTTGTCACCACCCACGTCCCCCACAGTTGTCAGACTTTTGTCCCCGCAGCACAACCCTGATGACGTCACTCCCCTGCGCAAGAACCTTCTCTGGCTCCCTGTGGCTCCCAGCAGGAATCGGAGCCCTTGGGCTGGCACCATGAGCTCCTGTGTCCCTGGCCCCAAGCTGGCCTGCCCAGCCTCAGGCTCCAGCCCTCCCGAGTTGGCCCCAGGCCCCAGGCGAGCCAGACCCCTCACGGCACCACAGGTCACCTGATGGCTCCTGTGGCTGCGTCCTCTCCAGCCTACAAGACCCAGTTCAAAGTTCTACTTCCACTGGGAAGCCATCCTTGACTTTGTCCCCGGGAATTCTCTGTTTCCGTAACCTTCCTTGGTGAGTTCTGTGTCCCTTTCCTTGGGCCTCAGCGCGGTGTAGCCAGGGCTGTTACTGAGCCGCTGCTCTGCCCAGCTTCCCTTCCCCAGCCTGCGAGGGCCTCCAGGGCGGCGGTGGCCTCTGCCATTCACCTGGCTCTCAGGCAGGGGCGGCCACAGCTGCCGAGACCTCAGAATGCCAGCCAGGCTCTGTGCTCCCCACGAGGGACTCCCCACCCACCAAATCTAACTGGACGTTCCCTCTGCTTCCCAGAGGGAACGCCCCAGAGCACAGAGGAGACAGCGGCATGGAGATCGTACTTTTGGAACTGCTTCACAATGTCCTCCACAAATATATAAAGGTCAGCCCAGTTGTTGTTCACGCTGCCTGACCTGAAAACAGAGTGGACATAAGTCAGGGTGATGACATGCTTCCACAGCAGGCTCGTTAACAAGCCTGCCCCCACCCGAACACAGCTGAGGGCTGGGCACAGCCTCAGTGGTCATCCTGTCATCCTGGATGGGGACTTCCATCAGTCGAGTGGTCTGCCTAACGTGGTGGTCCAGACCTGCCTTCCTCGGACTGGGGAGCTTCCTGGGATGAGGGACATTTGGTGGCTAACCAGGACAGCCCATCAAGCTATGTGGGGCTGTGTGGACAAGAAATGGGTGAGGATTATTTGACTGGAAAAGGCCCTAATAAATAATCCAAACCTAAATTAAGAAAAAAAATTCCATTTACAGAAGCATCAAACAGAAGAAAATATTTAGGAATAAATTTAACTTAAGAGACAAAAGAAATATATACTGAAAACTATAGGACGTTGCTGAAAGAATTTAAAGACACAAATAAATGGAAAGATATTACATGTTTATGAATTGGAAGACACAATATTGTCTGGATGACAATGTAATCTGTACCAAAATTACAACAGTATTTTCTTGCAGAAACAGAAAATCTATCCTAAATTTCATATGGAATCACAAGAGACTTTAAATAGCCATACAAACAAAAAAAATCTCAAAAAAGATAACATCTGTTGAACTCACATTTCCTGATTTCAGAATTTATTACAAAGCTACAGTGATCAGAACTGTGTGGCACTGTAGCAAGTACTGTCACATGCACCAAGGAACAGAATAGAGACCCTCTACAGAAACTGACCCTCACATCTATGCTCATTGACTTTCCACCATTGTCCCTTGAGTAATCAGTGTGCAAAATGACAGTAGTTTCAACAAATGGTTCTGGGAAAACTCAATGTCCACATGTGAAATAATGAAGTTGGACTATTCCCTCCATCATCACAGAAGTTAATTCAAAATGTACCAATGACCTAAATATAAAGCATAAAACTTTTAAACTCTTAGCAGAAAATATAGGAGAAAGCCATAACATTCGATTTAGTAATGATTTTTTTTATATGACGCGATGACCACAGGCAACAAAAGAAAAAATAGAAAAACTGGACTTCATCCAAATTAAAAACTTTCGTGCATCAATGGACACTACAGAGAGAGTGAGACACACCTGCAGAATGGAGACATTTGCAAATCATGCATCAGCCAAGGATTTGATATCCAGAATATACAAAGAACTCCTACACCAAGAACAAAAAAGAAACTACAAACAAAAAAGTGGAACAAAAAATACCAATAAGTACATATGCTCAAAAGGAAAGCTGTAACATCACTAGTCACTGAAGAAGTGCAAATCAAAGCTACCCTGAGATAGCATTCTGTACCCATTGGGATGGCTATTATCAAAAAAAATGAAAATAACAAGTGTTGGAGAGGCTGTGAAGAAATTGGACCCATCAAGCTTTGATGGTGGGAATGCAAAGTGATGCATCCACTGTGGGAAACAGTTCAGAAGTTCCTCAGAAAGCTTAACATAGCCATATGGTCATCAATTCCACTCCTAGGTATGTTCCCAAAAGAAGTGGCAGCAGTGACTCAAACCGATAAATGTATGCCAATGTTCATGGCAGCATTATTCACAATAGCCAAACGGTAGAAACAACCCGAGTAAGGGTCCATCAATAGATGAATGGATTTTTAAAAATGTAGTATATTACATACAGTGGAATATTATTCAGCCATAAAAGGAATGAAATTCTGATAGATGCTACAACAGCCAAATCTTGAAAACATTATGTTAAATGAAATCGGCCAGACACAAGAGGCCAAGTAAGGTGCCTGCCTCTCCTCCCTGAACCCCCAGTCCACGCCCCCACCCCACATCCCCCATCCAACCTGTCTGGGATTCAGTGGCCTCCACCGTCACCACGGATCCAGACTCTGCCCCCTCCTCACCTCTGTCCTGCCCATGGGCCCACACCACCATCCCCTCCCTGGGTGCTGCACTGGCCTCCTGCCAGCTCTGCCTGCGCCCCCTCAACTGTCATCCTTTCTGAACAGGAGCCCAATCACACCCCTCCTCTGCCAGCAGACACTGCCCACGGGCACCTCACAGGCAGTGCAGGCAGCGCCCTCCCCGGACCGCCTCTCTAGAAGGCCCGCCCTCAGCTCTTCCCACTCTCCTGCCCTGATTCTGTCCCCAAGGCACACGAGACTTTCCTCTTTGGTTTGTCTATTGCCTGTCTCCCCACTCAAGTGCAAGATCCAAGAGGGCAAGGACTTGGTCTAGTTCTGTTTGCTGCCTTATCATCACTGCCCCAAACAGTGACTGGCTCTTAGGAGCTGCTCATTCACTCTCCCTGAGTGGATGAATAAGCAAGGGCAAGAGCCAATGGCCAGGATGGGCTCTCTGCACGGGTAAAAGATCCCAGAGCACCTCAGGGGTGCCTGGCCCGGGCCCAGGTTTAATTGCCCCACAATGCCCCCAGAGGAGCTCTGACCCAGCCCCACCAGAGGCAGAGGGCACAGGGAGACAGACAGCTGCAACCCCGCAGCCCAGCAGCCAGGACTGGGGCAGGGCCCTGCAGTGCCGGGAGTTCCCAGCCTGTGACTCTGCCTTGCCTGGCAGCTCACGTCACACTCTCCCTTGGCTATTGCATCTGACCTAGGAACTCTCCCTTCTTCCTCATACACCTGGCAAGGTGGGTATGAAGATACCCTTTTCACAGATGGGGACACTGAGGCACAGAGACTTGAAGCAACTTGCCCAAGGCCACGTGGCTGGTGAATGGGGTCTGCCTGCTTCCAAAGCCAGGCGGCCCTTCCCCAAGGACAGCCAAGCAGTGGCCAAGCATCAGCATCCAAGGGAACGAGGACGCCAGAGGAGCTCCACCTGGGATGGTGGGGGGAGCGCAGTGCAGGACGCCAAGTCTTGTCACGCCACCTGCCTCTGGGACTGCACCAAGCTCCAGGAGCCCCCCTTGGCCAGGAAATAGGATAGAAAAATGCCTGCGCTCCTCCACGTCCCGGGCTGGATGTGAGGATGCAGGAGTGCAGGGGAGGGCTCTGGACACACCGAGGTGCTTCGGCACCCACTGACAGTCGCTCCACTGCCACTGGAGAGCAGCCACCAAGTCTGTTCCGCCCAACGGCAGCAGCTGAAACGCAACCAAGACAACGTCGCCAGGACGGAAGACCCTCCCCCTTTCTTTGAGAGTCGGAAGGTGCCTAGTGCACAGCCCAGCTGTCCCAGGGCCACACTGAGACAGACCAAGCCATTCCTGAAAGTGCAGGAACTGTCACGAGGTCCCAGGGTGTAGATGAAAGAAGCAAAACACCTAGAAGCAGCAGCAAAGGACTTTCTAAGAGTGACACTATTAGAAGGCCCAGCAGAGGCAACAAAGCAATCTCTCTGGGCCTAGTAAAACAGAAATCATTTGAGACAAAAAAGAAACAAACAAAACAACACAAAAAAACAAAAATTCACAGTGCGCTTGTAACAACTGCTGAAAGGCAGCCCCTGGTAATCAGCTGTTGAAGGGGCATGAGAGCCACCACAGGGGCCTGGATGGGTCTCTGTTGGTGCATCGGGGCATGATGACATATGACAGATGTGTTTTCCCCATCCAAGAGACAGTGTACCAAGGAACAAATACCTGGGGCCTTCATTCTGCCTTGGGGAAGAAGGAGGCCTAGCTCTGGTCGTCTGACCAAAGGATTGGCCGGTTCCCTGGCAGAATCTCTGGGCTCCAGGCCCTGTCCTGCCCCCAGTGAAAAGGGGATGGTGGCTCCTGTGGCCACGCAGAGCCAGGCCTGGAAGGACACTTACTTGTCCACAATGAGGTAGAGGTCCAATTTGTTCTTGCAAGCCTGCTGGGCTTGCCCTTGGCGCCAGTGATGCCTGGCGTTTGGGCCGCGGCGGTGATGGCCCCTTCTGGAGCCCACACCCAGGTGGTGGAACATTCTCCAGCCAGGTCTTGGGTGCTGGAAACTTCCTGCTCTAAAAAGTGGGGGTGGCAGCAACAGCAGCAGCAGCAGCAGAAATAGCGCTGAGCAGGGTCCCTGGACACCACGGCTCCCCATTTTCCTGGATGTCCCTGTGGCCTCAGCTCACTCTTGGGTTCTTGGGCCAGATGTCCCTGTGGCCTCAGCTCGCTCTTGGGCTCTTGGGTCCCTGTGGCCTCTCCGCCAGGGCCCAGGTTCTCTGAGCACCAGCCACCTCTGGCCACTCTCTGTGGCCTCTGCCTGTGCCCAGGGGCCACACCCCTCCTGCCCTACCACCAGGGCACACTATGGCCCAACACCAGTTACCTGCCCAGATCGCAGGGAGCAGGGGCAGTGTCTGGCTCTGGGTACACCTGCCTCAGCTACCTGCCTGCCCTTCCCCCACCCTGGGGGCAGAGTTCCCTGTTGTTATGACTGACAGGAAGGTTGACATGGTGACTTTGTGACCTGCAGCTCTGCCCAGTGTTCTGCATGCTGACCATCTCAAGTGGGAGTCACAGGGCCATTGAGGGGTGTAAGAGGAAGGCTTCGTGCTCCTTGCTGCCCTCCCAGGTGTCCCTTCACATCCCCTCAGAACCTGCCTTTGTGTTAAGTGACAGAGCTACCTGAGGTGGCTCAGGTAAGAAGGTCACTGTGGGTGAGGGGTCAAGGAGCTGGGAGGCCGAGGTTGGGAACGGAGACAGCATCTGCGTGAGCACCAACGTGCCCCAGGGGAGGGCGGGATCTAGAAGGTGGTGAGGACTGTGCGATGCTGCCGACGTCCTTGTGAACAAGGGACGTGCCCGCTTTCCACTGCCGTGCACCAAACCACTCGCTCTTGGTGGCCCAAGAACCATCTTATTATGCTCACAGGTTCTGAGGATCAGACATTTGGAGAGGGCAGGGTGGGGAGGGCTCCATGTGTCAGGGCCTCCAATGGGTAGACTTGAGCCGCCAACATGACTTGAGTGATTGAAGATTGCAATTATCTGGAGGCTTCTTCACTCACAAGTGCCACACCTGGATAATAGGACACAAAAGCTGTGCTCAGCGGGAACTGTTAATGGAGACCCTGCATGTGGCCTCTCCGTGTAGCTTGGGCTTCCTCACAGCATGGTGTCTTCAGGGTGTTCAGACTTTTTACATGGTGGCTCAGAGTTCCAAGAGTGAGTATTTCTACTGGGCAAAGCAGAAGTTGTAGAGCCTTTTATGATATCATCTTGGAAGTCACATAGTGTCACTTCCACTGTATTCTATTTGTCAGAGCAGTCACAAGCTGGCCAAAATTTAGGGGAAGGGAACATAGACCCAACCTCTCCATGGAAGGAATATGGATGAGTTGACGTGCACCCATGCTTGAAACTGCTGCCTGACCAATGTTTGAATGGCAGAGTTATACTGTGTGGCGAACTTGGGCATAGATCTGTGGTCCCCAGCCTCAGGCCTCAGACCCATATTGGTCAGAAGCCTGTTAGCAACTAGGCCACACAGGCTCTGCCAGCACTCCCTTCCCCTGCCCCCGCCACACTCCCAATGGGTGGAAAGATTGTTTTCCATGAAACTTAGCAACAGGGCCACACAGCAGGAGGTGAGCAGTGGGGGAGTGAGCAAATCTTTGTATTTGCAGCTGCTCCCCACCCATTGCAGCACTGCCTGAGCTCTGCCTCCACCATCCCACCACCATCAGTGGAAAAATTGTCTTCCATGAAACCAGTCCCTGGTGCCAAAAAGGTTGGGGACTGCTGGCATAGACAACTCTGATTCAAAAGGAATTCAGAAAATCAATTGTGCTAACAAACCCACGAGGGGGGTTCACTGTTGCTAGTTGCACAGAAAGCCAATTACTGAGACAAGGAGGATTCTCCAGGAAGAAAGGGTTTATTATAGTGGACCTGTCTACTGGGAGGGGGGGAGGTATGAACTGTCTCAAATCTGCATCCCCAATCAGCAGGGTCAGGGGTGTTTCTGGAGGTGAAATGAACAATGCATGACGGGAGTGAGCATCATTACCTTTGGTGTGGAGTGCAGAGCATGGAAGCACAGTGAGGAATCATTCTAGTTCATACATGCAATGATCAAAAATAGGGGGCAAGTCCCTCCCAGGATGGGGACTTTAGTAATATAATGAGCTAGGGGTTAATATTGGTCATTCTTTCAGACTTGTGCGCAGGTTCAGTGGGTACTTGGGCACAGTCTGTGGTGGGCTGTAGTTTATCCTGTCTTCTCTGGACAAATAGGTGGTGTGAGGGTGGATAGTGATCTCTGCCTACAGGTAGTCTCCACCACAAAGTTCTGCTTAGTAAATCTTACTAGCCTGGGAACTTGAAACATAAGAGAACTACAAGAAAAACAACTATAAAAAATATGTTCTTGTTTATGGAGCTGATTACAATTGTAAAACATTTTTAGACACCCCTTTATCAATTTCATTTTCTTTATGTTTCTATGCACTAGAGTGGCCTCTGATTAAACACCCTTTAGTAAGAGTGAAATAGATCCTTCAATATATACAACATAAAAATTACAAATGATAAGTATTGATTTGGTGAGGTTTTTTGGTCCTTTTTTGTTGTTGTTTCTTTGTTTTGTTTTCTCTTTTGGAATTGTATTTAAAGTAATGGAATATTTTAAATTAGTGACATTTTATAATCATTGAAATCTGGTATTGTTCTCCCAACAGCATATAAGGGTTCTCTTGCTTCATGTCTTTCATGACACTTGTTGTGGTTATATTTTTATATTTTTGCCTATTGGTTACACATCTCCTTGTTGTCTTAATTTACCATTTCCTAATTACTGTTGGAATTGGGCATGTATTCACATGACTTTTTGTTATTCACACTTTCTCCTTTTCAGAGTGTCTATTCATGCCTGTGTGTGCATTTTCCACTGGGATATTTATCCTTGTCATATGGATTCATTAACATTCTTTATATTATATATTCTGGATACTGTTACTTTATTAATAGTTGCAAATATCCTCCCAGTGTGTGGCTTATTTTTTTTCACTTGATTTATTCTTTTTCAATAAGGCAGAAGCCGTAAATTTTAACAGAGTTAAACTGTCATTTTCCACCCTCGCCCTATCCCACCCTCCAGAGGCAAAGTCCTTGGACACTTCACAACTGGGGTGCCTAGGAAGTGCAGACAGGCAGCAGGATCATGCCAGCTGGGAGTGGTCCAAGAGCTGAACCCTGAGAGGGCAGGGCACTGCCCAGCAGATCTGGAGGGGGCTTAAACCTGGGCAGTGGGTCCCCGGCCTGGGGTACCCCTCTCTGCCCCACCCTGAAGGCCAGCAGGACCGTGGTGAGTGGGGGGCATGGAGGCAGTGAACTTTATGAGTCTCCTATTATCTAAAACCTGATAAAGACTACACAAAAGCAAAAAAAAAAAAAAATAGGCTCGTCTATCTCCTGAGCATAGGTAAACAAAAATTCTAAATTATTAGTAAACTGGATTTTTAGCATGTTTAAGAAATATCATTGCCAAGTTTGGTTTACTTATAACATTTTAAAATTGGTTTTACATGCATTAATGTAACTAACCATATTAATAGATTACTAGACAAAAATACATGTTCATCACAAAATATCCAGAAAAAACATTTAGATAAAATTCAACATTCATTCATGTTCATGATTTGTTGCAAACCAGGATTAGTAGAGACACTTTCTAATCTCATTAAGGATTTTAACCAAATAACTTCAATAAATATCATTCTTTATGGTGACATGTTAGAAGCATTCTCTTTAAAATCAAGAATGTCTTTATCATAGCTGCTAGTCAACATTTTATTGGAGAAATAGCATAATTCTTACTCTTTTAAAAGAAATTATATTTCACATAGAAACTGAAATAATTCTACTGATCAAATTTCAGAATAAGAGAGTTTGCCATTTGAGTGAATATATCAACATGTACTTACATTTCTTTATAACAGCAATACAGAATTTAAAGACTTAATTTAAACAGTACTATTTATAATAGCAGCAAAAATATAGGGTACTGACAGAAGGCACTGGACCAAAGAGATCAAGATCTTCATAGGAAAATATATATAAATGACATTGGGAAAGACCTAAAAAACAGAAAAAACAGACACATGTTCAGAGAGAGGAGAATTCTACAGTACAGATACCAGTTCCCTCCAAGTATATCTGTATGTTTAATGTTGTTGTAATCAAATATTAAGAGGGTTTGGGGGGGAAAGGAGACTTGATGAGATGATTCTAAAATATATATGAAACAGCAAATATCCAACAATTACTGGAAGAAAATTATGTGCTGATTTACCCTATCCCATGAAGACTTGTAGAACTCTGTGAATGTGTCAGATCCAACTGGGTTATCATCTGCTAACACCCCCTTCTTCCTGCACACATACACCACTCAGTCTTGTAACTGGCTCCATAAAAAAGAAAACATTCTTTATAATTTAAGTTCTCTTATCTTTCAAATGAATTTTCAATGTTCACATTGTGGCTAGAGCTGGCTGCTCTAAGTAACCTTGAATTAGTGGTACCATAGACAGTGAGTTTGATCTCAATGTCAGTAACCTGGCATCTGCAGTTTCAAAGTAGGCAGAAAGGACAAGACAGAGAGCTTAACAGACTCAGTAAGATTTGGTGACCAGAACCTTGTAACTTTCTGTTGCACTGATGTAACTCTCTGTTGCACTGATGTAACTTTTTCAGTTTCTTTGCCACTAATGGAAGAATCTCCTTGCAGCCATAAGATGACTACAAAGCCTTACACTGCCTGTTTGTCCAGAGAAGACAAAGTAAGTGACACCCCACCACAGATTGTGACCAAGGTCCTGCTGAGCCACCTACTTCTTGCATCCCACCTGTGCACAAAGCTGAAAGAGTGACTAATATTAACACCTACCTCATTATACTACTCAAATCTCTACCCTGGGAAGGACTTATTCACCATTTTTTGCTCATGAAATATATATACTAGCATGATTTCTCACTATACATACATGCCCTGCACTCTGCCCCAAACATGTAATGATGTTCACTCCCCTCACGCATTATTCATTTCACCTCCAGAAAACCCCCTGATCCCAATGGTTGAGGCAGTCCATTTCTTCCACTTCCCAGTTAACATATCAAAGGCAATAAATCCTTTCTTCTTTGACAATCCTCATTTTGTCAGTAATTGGCTTTCTGTACAAGGAGCAACAGAGGGAACCCACCTTGATGGTTCATTAACAATCTGATTATCTGCAAAGGACAAGCTATATTTCTCTTCTGCATATCATTCTAGGTTCCCAAGGGGGCACTGCATAGCCTAGTCACTCAAGCATTTCTGGACCTTAAAACACATCAGAGATGGCATGAGATGGTTGCGAAAAAGATGGAATTTTCCTGAAGTGGTGCTGGGATAATTTGTTATCTACATGGCACAAAATGAAATCAAATGTCTGGCACAAATCACACATAAAATCATTCCAGATAGATTAAAGACTTCAATGTGAAAGGCAAATCTTTGAAACTTTTAAAATAAAATGTATTGTACCTTTGGTAAGGCAGAAATACTTGATTCAAAATAGAGCAAATCTTAAAGTTTAGGAAAATGACAACTCAACTACATTATAATTAACAACTTTTACTTTACTAAAAGAAAATAAATAGAAAAAACAAGCTACATACTGGAACAAGATATTAGTAGCAATTAATAAAGGATAAGTATCCAGAATTTATAATCAATATTAGTAAGTCAATATGGAAAAGATAAACACCCAAATCAGAGAATGAAGAATGAATGCACAGACATGAATGGGCACTTCAAAAACAGGAAACATGAATGACTCAAAATCATGCAAACAGATGAACAATGCCATAAATAATTAGGAAAATGCAAATTAAATTCATAGTTTGGCTTACTGATTATGTCTAGTCAATAGGCAGAAAAATAAAAATATGACAGTACCAAGTGTCATGAAGGATGTGAATGAAGCAAGAGAATCTTAATATGCTTGTGGGGGACATCATCCATTTTAAAATAACACTTTTAAAAAATATTCTATTATTTTAAGTACCACTCCAAATCCAAAAACAAAACCCAATAACCCAATCATGTTATGACTTGGAATTTTTATGTATTCATATTGAAAGATCTGAGGCTTATTAGAGAGGGTTTTTAATCATATATCACTGTTATGCATACAAAAATGAAAATATGATTAAGGTATTACTAAAAATGTTTTATAATCATTGTCTTTTTTGGAATCCCTTTTAATTTAGAGTTATCTATGCCTATGTTTCTCCACACAATATACCTCTGCCATTCAAAGAATTGTTCAAGCTGCAGTTTCAACACATGAGTGCAAACACCCATATTCCTCCCATGGAGAGGTAGAGCCCATGTTCTCTCCCACTGAAGTTGGCTGGTTCATGACTGCTTTGCCAAATAGAGTACAGCAGAAGTGACATTGTGTGACTCCCAAGGTGATGTCATAAAAGACTCTATAACTTCTGTTTTACCCACTAGAAGAACTCACTCTTGGAACTCTGAGCCACTATGTAAAAAGTCTGAACACCCTGAAGCCACCATTCTGTGAGGAAACCCAAGTCACATGGAGAGGCCATATGCAGGGTCTCCATTAACAGTCCCCGCTGAGCACAGCTTTTGAGTGACCCCTAGTCAGCAAATGATCACTTGGCTATGGGACAGCTGGGCTGTGCACTATGTGCCTTCCAGCTCTCAAAGAAAGAAAGGGGGGGTTCTTCAGTCCTGGAGACATTGTCTACGTTGCATTTCAGCTGCTGCTGGTGGGTGGAATAGACTTTGTAGTTACTCTCCAGTAGCAGTGGTACAACTGTTAGTGGGTGTTGAAGCACTTCACTGTACCCAGAGCCCTTCCTCTGCACTCTGGCATCTTCAAATCCATCCAGGATGTGGAGGAGTGCAGGCATTTTTCTATCCTATTTCCTGGAAGATGATGAAGTCCCAGAGGCAGGTGGTATGACAAGACTTGGGTGTCCTGCACTGCACTCTTCCCACCATCCCAGCTTGAGCTTCCTCTGATGTTCATTCCCCTGGACACTGATGCTCAGGGAATGCGGGGCCCAGCCCACTAGCTCCTAAGCAAAGCCAGCAATGACAGAGGCATCCTGCCCACTGGAAGAGAAGTCTCTCCTCCCTGTCCAGCTGAGGGACTTCTGAGACACCCTAGGAAGGTCTTGCCACCTTCATCCTTATCACAGCACAGGGTGGTGAGTCCCCCTTGTGCATCAGGTTGGACAAGTCATGGGCTTTATGGGGCTGACAACCTTGTCAGGCCTATCCTTCCAAAGAGTGGTGTTGAGTCCAAAGGGTCCTCTCAGCTGCCCCCGATAGGTGCCCCTGCCCATTCCTCAAGGGCTCAGCTGGGGGCCCAGGGAGGCACAGCCCAGCCCTTGGATGGCTGGGGAGGGACTCTGGGCACAGGTGGGGGATGCAAAATAGCATTAATTTAGCTCTTGCCGTGTGCCACACAATGTGCTGAATACATACAACCTCACAGGGAGCTACCCATGGCTTATGCGCTAGTTGGGGAGGCACAGGGCTCTGCAGCCTGTGCTCAGGGTCAGGCTGGATAAGGCCCCCAGAGCCTGCTTTGAGCTGTACTGTCCTTTCGTTCTCCAGCACTCGTGGTCACTGCGCCACTGGCACTGGGCATCAGGGGCTGGCTCCCTGTCCTAGCGCATCAGCTTGCCCAGGCTGCCCTGGCACCAGAGGTTGCTGTTCATGTGATTCTGGGGACCTCTCCCCAGACTGCTCAGGACCCCAGTAGCTCATTGGATCACTTGCTGAGTGGTGGCCTCAGAAGGCATTTGTGATCTGACCTCAGGAAATGCAGACAATAGGAAAGTGTGGGGAAAAGCTGTGGGTTTGTCCCTGAAAGGTGTTTTCTCCACTCAGTCTTCTTTGCTGGGTTTTGGGATTCACAGCTCAGACAGTGCTTAAGGTTGCAGACTGTGAATCCCTCAGAGGTGGTCAAGCTTCATCTTTTACCCCCACCCACTACGGGTGGGGACCCATTACCTCTGCACCATGCTGCAGTGACCCAGGGCCCAAGCCCTGCCGAGCCAGCCCACTCCTTTTGAGAGAGTGCCAAATCCTAACCACTAGACCACCAGGGAGGCTAGCCCACTCCTTTTGGAGAGAGCTGAATTTCAGGTAATGCTTCCTTACACAGAGCACCATTTTTATACTTCCCCAAAGTGGCCTCATCTACAATAAACAGACTGTCATTCCATTAACAATGTGTGAAATCCTCCTTTTTGTTTTGCTTTGTCTTAATACTGCTATGCTCCCCAGGGACATTTCCTGGTCCGGTTTGACACATCCTAGTCTCTGAGCTTCCTTCACCTCCTGCCTCCCAGGCTCTCTCCTTCAGACCAGGCCTCTGATTTCAAGCTGACCCTGCGATGGTGCCTGGGGTGCCTGCCTCGTGGGATCCCCTGCACTAGCATCCCCTTCCCCACTTATCTTCACCACCACCCATGAGGTGGAAGGGGCGGTTAGCCTTGGGGAGAGGAGGAAACTGGCTCAGAGAGGTTAAGTAGCATGTCCAATGTCTCAGCAGAGGCACATACTTGGGTCTTCCAACACACAGCTGCCTAACTTCACAATCCATATAATTAGTTTTTTTGTAAGTCATTGCGATAGAATATTCATGACATAAAATTGACCATTGCAACCAATTTTTTATTTTTTTGAGACAGGGTCTTGCTCTATCACCCAGGCTAGAGTGCAATGGCAAGATCATAGGTCACTGCAGCCTTGAATTCCTGGGCTCAAGTGATCCTCCCACCTGAGCCTCCTGAGCAGCTAGTACTACAGGCATGTGCCACCATGCCTAGCTAATTTTTTAAAATTTTGGTAGAGATGGGGTTTCATTATGTTACTCAGGCTTGTCTCAAACTCCTGGCTTCAAGTGATCCCTCCACCTTGGCCCCCCAAATGCTGTGTGAGCCCCTGAGCTTGGCCTATGGTAACTATTTTTTAAGTATTCAATTCAGTGACATAAAGTACCCACAAAGTGTTGTACAGCCATCATCATGATTCATTTCCCAAACTTTCTCATCACTGCATGCTGAAATTCCCTACCCATTAAATAATAACTCCCCATCTCTCTCTCCCCAATCCCTGGTAAGCTCTATTATATTTCCTATGTCTATGAATTTGCCTGGTTAGGTTTCTACAGATTCCATATGAATTTGGGGATGGATTTTTCCATTTCTGCAAAAAAAAAAAAAAATGCTGTTGGGATTTTAATACAAATGCATTGAATCTGTAGCTAACATTGTCATCCTAACAATATTAAGTTTTCCAATCCTTAAACATGTGATGTCTCCATTTATTTGTGTGTTAATTTCTTTTAGCAAAGTTTTGTAGTTTTCAGTGGACTTTTCCCTCCTTGGTTAAATTTACTCCTACGCGTTTTGATCTATTTGATGTTTGCAAATTGAATCATCTTCTTAATTTCCTTTTTGGATTATTCATTATTAGTGTATAGAAAGGCAAATGATTTGGTATGTAATTTTGTATCCTGCAACTTTGCTGAATTTATTAGGTCTAACACATAGATTCTTTCTATTGTGGGTTTTTTACATGTAAGATCATATTACTCAATAACAGACACAATTTTACTTCTTCCTTTCTAATTTGGATGCCTTTTATTTCTTTTACTGGCCTAATTACTCTGGCTGAAACTTGCATTACATTGAATGGAAGTGATAAAAGTAGGCATCCTGATGTTGGGTTTCTAACCATCTGCCTATGGGCACCTGAGTCAAAAAGTGGCTCACAGAGGTCAAGGAAAAGAATGCAAATGACCAGTTCTGAGCCACCTTCTTACCACGAGGAAAATTGCAGAAATGTTCATGGCACCTGCTTGGCCTGGCAGCAACCCACTCATGTAGAGTGAGGAAAGTGCTCACGGAATGGGCCTCGTCACCTGCTGAGATGGGGTGTCAAGGGCTGCAGGGAGGAGGGTGGAGATGGAGACACAGGGACCTCACAGACAACTGGGCAGGAGTCTGAGCCCTGGGACCCAGACGACAGGAATTCACCCCGAGGAACCCTCCTTGCCCAGGAAGTCCCGTGGCCTCCTTAGGGGACGGGGAACCACTAGGCAGCAGCCATGAGGCCCTGAGACAGGGAGGGAGAGGCCCCTGGGGGGCTGGTGGTGACGGGGCGAGAACTCCAGACGTCCCGCCTGGCTTTGCCCTCCTCCTTCCCCTCCCGGCTCTGACCCTGGTCCCATCCGCCACTTCCTGCTGGGAGCCTCCAGCTCCTCGGCTGCCCCAGAGGGTCACATGTCCTGCCTTTGGGCCATTGTTGTTTAACTATAATTGGTGGTTTTGGTTGACCTTATCTCTGGTGAGGATGACTTCATGACCCTTGTCTGTACAATTCTGTTGAGCCATCTCCTGTGGATTAAGATACTACAAAACAGCAAAGAACATTTTTCTGCCCCTCTCATTACTGGCCCCAGGAAAAGAAGGCAGGTTTTAATTCCTGAAAAGGGTGGGAGTTACAGAGACAACTTGTAAAACATTTCATTGCCCTTTTTCTGACCTTTACCCCTGTTGCATTTTCACTGATTTAGTCCTCCCAGGAACTGTACAGTAGGTGCTTCTATTAATCCAGTTTCCTGTGAGAACTAAAGCACAGAGAGTTCAGTGATATGTCCCAGGTCAAAAAGCCCAGCAGAGGCTGGTGCAGTGGCTCACACCTATAATCCTAGCATTCTGGGAGGCTGAGACATGAGGATCGCTTGAGCTCAGGAGTTCAACACCAGACTGAGCAAGAGTGAGACCCTGTCTATACTAAAATGGAAAATAAAAATAAAAATTAATTAATTTAAGAAGCCCAGGAGTTGTTGAACTCTTTCTGGGGGTCACATGGGCCAGTCCAACCAAGATGGGACATGAACGCAAACCAATCCCCTTCAGAATAAAGCCTTCTTGATAATTTCTTTCTCTTGTGTCCTCTAAACATGGTTTCTTGCACAGGTCATAGACCATGACCTCTTCATGCACACTCTGGGCCTAGATACTGTAAAGGAAAATAAAAGCACCTCAGGACCCTCAAACTCATTATGCCAAAGGGAAGGCTGAGGCTGGAGGCTGAGGCAGCAGCACCACCTTCCTTTTCCCAAGTGAACAGCTGTTGCTTCACACCCTCCTGCCAAGGCATCATACATTCGCCAGACCCTCTGGAAGGCACAAGGCCTCAGCCACCTCTGGATAACTGCCCTCGCTAATTACTCACAAGGACTTTCTCTGCTGGCTTTGAAACCCTTCCAGGTGTGTATCCTCCCCTAAAACAAGGACAGGACAGTTGTACCCTTAGGTATCAGTTCAGCTCCTAACACTGGTCTGTTGATTCCACACTGACTTTTCCCTTACAAGCTCATCTTCCCAGGCACAGAACAAAGACAACATGCGATGGATCATTCCTGCACCAACCCTGAGACATCTGATACTTCTTTACTCCCTTTCTTCTTCAAAAGTACACTTCATCTTATATAAAATGGAGATTTACTGGGCACTAACTAAAGCCTTCCACAAATGTAACCTTTGGTCATGATCTATGACCTGTGCAAGAAACCATGTTTAGAGGACACAAGAGAAAGAAATTATCAAGAAGGCTTTATTCCGAAAGGGATTGGTTTGCGTTCATGTCCCATCTTGGTTGGACTGGCCCATGTGACCCCAGAAGTGTGACAGGCCTCTCCTCATCCCTGCAGACCATACAGCCTGGGGGCAGGAGCCCTCCCACCCAGCCTTCCAGGGGCACCGTACCCTCTTGCCACACAAGGTGCCTGAAAGGTGGTCTTACTAATAACCTATCTAACAGAGGAAAGTAATCTATCCAACAAAAAGAGAAACTTACAGTACATAATTGCCTCTTTGAAAAGGAAACTCACAACACAACTGTCCTTTTGTGGCCTAACTCATTATCTCCAAGTGGTTTTTTTTTTTCATAGCCTGGAAGACCCCTAAGTGGACAGTAGTGGTGAGAGCGCCCAGTCCAACCCTGCCTCAACTCTTGTCAGATAGATTGCAAAGTCTCAGGCAGGCTGGAAAGGACGCCTGCAACGGCTTTGCTGCCACTTCCGTCATCAGCCTGCTGAAGCAGAAGAAAAAGCCATTTTTGCCCTTTGAAAATGCTAGGCCCTTTTCCTCAACTGCCCAGCCCTTCCCTCCTTTCTCTGTGTGCTATGGCCACACTCTTTCTTTCTTTCTTTCCTGCTTTCTTGCTTTCATTCACTCTTTCTTTCTCTTATAATTTCTCTTTCTTTCTTTTTCTCTCTCTCAGAGAAATATATACACTTTTAATTCTGTACATACTAATCACTGACAATTCTTACTCACCCACATACGAATTCTATACCCTTTCTTTTGATGGCCCATATGGGGATGAGATAATGAGTCACTTTTAAGTCCCTATCACAGGGACTTCACTTTTCTATCTCTGTTACAGGGAGTCACTTCTCTGCCTCCATGTGAGGAGTTCACTTTTTTGCCTCTGTCTCTAGACTGCTCCATCCTCTGGTGTACAGCTCGCAGGACTTCATTCTTGGTGCCCTCATTCGGAATTTGATAATACTCCAGGGCTTAGGAAAAGTTCATACACTCAATAAAGAGTCGGCAGCTCTGTTGTTAAAACTCCAGTACTGGTCTGCACTCTTGGAAGGACGCCTGGGAAGGACATTTTCTAGATGCTTCTTCCCAGACTTCACCCAGACCCAGAGACACCTGGCTTTGTGGAAGCTCCCCCAGGTTTCTGTCTGGACAAGGACTCAGGATGCCTGCCTCATGGCGCAACCCAAATCGCCTTTCAGTTCTGACTCAGAACTCAGGGATGCCCTATGTCTGATCAGTACCTCAAAGTTCGTCTAGTGGGGCACACCCTGCTCAGACTGGCAGTACTTATATCCCAGGTCTCACTTGGTTGCAAATGTCATCAGCACCAAAAGAGAACTGCTGGGCTCAGACCCAGGGTCCTTTCCTTCCTTTCCCCAGCCTAGAGGCAAGGGCTCCTCACCATTCTCTTCAGAAACAGGATGGTTATGTCTGCCACCATCTGGCATCGTGCACGTGACAACTCTTGTTCTTTAAGATTTTTACTTGTATCCTCTGGAATGTGACTAACATATTCTCTGCATAAACCTAGAGGAGAGAGGGTACTCAGGAATAAGGGAAGGTTAGAGGGAGGAAATAATAAAAAGAATGACAATCTCTGGCAGAGGAAGGAAGAGGAGGAGTGAGTGTGGAGACAGGATTCCAGCTGGACCAGGGGTTGTGGGAGTGGAGAAGTTATGGGTCACATGAGGAGAACAGACATGGGAACCAGACTGGAGCTGTGAATGAACTGGACCCAAGTCACGCTCTGCTCACAGGAAATTTGGCTGGGTAGGTGCCCAACCAGCTCTGTGGATGGAGGTGTCCCACCTTGGCTGAAGCCAGAAAGATGTCTCAGATATCCTTACCTCACCAGCTCTTTGCAGACACCCCACAAAGTTGTTCTTGGGCATGTTGAACATGAGCCACTCCAATTCTCTTCTACCAACCTCTGTGTAGTTCTCTATAGGGGACAAGGGACACATGGCTGCTGGGCAGCACCTTACAGATGATGTGGTTCCCATGGCTGCTGATATTTCTGTAAGGAATAAAGAAGGGGGTGTTTCTCTTCTGCTGGACATGTTATGTTCTTCAGGGTATTTCATCATGGATGATAAAAACACACAAATAGTAATGCTTAAGGATCAGAAGATGGAATCTTGGCTCCAGACAAGACATTGCACCTCCCTATCAACATTTCCTTAGGCAATTTGCCTAACTTTTAGGGCTGCTATTTTTTGACATGTAAAGGGAAATATATGACCCTTGGGGTACATTGGAATGTTCTAGATGTGGACATATGTATCAAACTCCTTGAAGTGTACACCTAAAATTGGTGAATTTTAAATACATATCTCAATACAGTTGATATGAAAAATCAATGGTGGTTGTACAATAGTGTGAATGTACTTAATGTCACTAAACTATATGCCTAAAAATGGTTAAAATGGCAAATTTACTGTTATGTATATTTTATCAAAATTAAATAAACTCCCCACCCAAAATCAATTGCATTCTGTATACTGACAATAAACAATTAGAAAATAAACTTTTGAAAAGAGCATTTAAATAGTGCCAACACCAAAAAATACCAAGGAATATATCTAGTAAGAGATGTGCAAGATCTCTACACTGGAACATTGCTGGGAAAAAAAGTAAAGAATACCTAAATAATTAGAGGACTATAATCATGGTCATGGATTGGTACACAATATTTTAAGGTGTTAAATCTCCCTGATTTCATAAATTTTATGCATTATTCTTTGATTAACTTCTTAAAATTACTCTAACAGAAAAAAGGAAGACATATTCAATAATATTAAATGTAGTAAACAGTTAAGTAAGGACTTGAAATATCCAAGACTGTTAGCCAGGAAGTCAGTAAGACCCTAAGAAAAATATTTCACTGGGTTGCTATGGGAAGAAGGCAGGTGGCTTTGGGTTTAGATGGAAGGTAAGAATGCTAACAGCATACTGCCTAAGAAAACCATGCACACCACATTCAGGGAGCTCTCTTTGTTAACTGCAGGGCTTTACTCTCTCCCACTCACTGCATATGAAGGAACAAAATGGAAAACAGAGTAGCCAACGGAGCACTTTTCCTGTCCCTGGAGATCCCTGTGTCATCTCCAGAAAGAGCGACAGGCTCCCACCAGTGAGAAAAAGAATGAGTCACATTCTCTCATACCTTCACTCAGCACACACATATCAGGAGCCTCCTGTGGGCCAAACTTGGCAATCCCCCTAGAGGACAGGGACACAGCGAGGGGGCTCACAGGTCATTCTCCTCTAGGAGATCCCGGCACAGAAACATACTCATTTCACCAGCACACAGTACTTGCTATAATAGGTAATGAACAGAGAGAGATGCTGGGGGTCAGTGCCACAGCCCTCCCCCTCTTCTCCATGGCCAGCCTGGAATAAATGCCTCCCTCACTCCCAGCCAGGGAGGAAAAACTCAGGGTCCTGGATCAGATCCCTCCAGTGCTCAGTCAACTGCTTCCTGGAGACTAAGACAGTATGTTGAATCTGTAAAGAAGCCAGTTATTTCTGTGTTTCTCAACATCAAAGCACTTGTGTGCCCAGAGAAATCTAGAAAGATTCAGTGCTGTGGGGCATGGCGTCCACAGCCATTCACATCCTCATTTGCCTTGAGCCTAACTGACCTCACACCCTCCAGCTGTGTTTAACACTTTCATAGACAAAGTGACTACTACAAAGAAAGAGAAACTGACAGGCTACTTTGCCTAACTTCTAACATGAAAATCTCTGCTAAGGCAACCAGTCACAGGGAGCAAGACCACCTCTCAGTTGCTGTAATCACGCTCTCTCACTGTTCACACACACAGTGCCCACTGGACTCTCAAATATCTCCATTTGGCCACCGCCAAAGCCTGGAATAGCAGCTCCGCCAGGAAGCCTTTCTCCATGGAATAGGGCAGGAAGGGAAATGCAAAATGGATGCCATGAACCTTCTGGGTTCTATCAACCACAGTCCTGGGAAAAAAATAAATCAATACCGTAACTCTCTCGTGAGCCAGGAAGAAGGGGATTGAAATCAAGACCAGCCTTCATACATGTTACCGAATTTCTCCTTGGTTGTACATTTCCCTGCAAGCAGAGACCATGTCTTCTCAATCCTTTGCATGCCCATGTGAAGCTACGCCAGAATCACGCAACGCATCCAGGGGCAGTAAGTGGCTATAGCAGGATGCAGCCTAGAAGAGCCCCCAAACCAACTACCATTCTACTGCTGCTTGGATACCACTTTAATGCATTTATGAAAGGCTTGCAGATGTTCTCTTGAAGATGTCTGCCTCTGGGGTCAAGGAGGGTATCTGTGAGGACCTGTGCAGCATTCTGCTCCCGTGTCTCTGCAATGCAGCATTTGCATGCCACAGCTGCTCCACTTTACCCTGCTGTGGACACATGGAAAGCATGGTGCTCAGGCAGAAAAGTATGAGCACAGCTTGTAGGATTGAGCATACACACCCATACCTTACAGATACCTTTAGTGTGCTTCTTAGTTTGCCCGACCTCCATTTCCAGTACAGATGAGAGCCCCTCACATAGTGTTCTGTCCTGAAGAAATAGCAGCGTTCTCTTTGGCTCCAGACTACAGAGTTCTATCCAAAGACACTGAGCTCTGCCTGGAACAGCTTACCAATACCGACACGACCTTATTTCTATTTCCTTGCTAGACCGAGGTCTACGAAGAACTTCTGCTCCATGTTTATATCACATTTTGTCTCGTCTTGTGAACCTGTCTTCTCTGAGAGGGATTTTATCTCCCCCTTTCCTCCTTCAGTCACCATCTGGAGGACACACTCTACCATCCTGGTCCCCACACCTCTCTCACTGCAAGCCATTTCCAGGTCCATCTGAATACAAATGTTCACAACTTTAAAATGAATTTTGTTAATATTAATAAATCCAACACCCATCCTTATTACTCTGGCCTCATAAAGACAAGTGACAGTGTCAATCCATTTAGAAGGGGGAAGGTAGTTGCCATTAAGTTCTTCCAATTATAGTTTAGAGGACATTGAAATGACCAGAGACACACACAGGTGGAGGGATTACCATAAGAAGGATGACTTGAAAAAACTAGGAGAATAGTTTTTTCTATTTTTCTATATTTTTTCTCAATACTGAGAGGGAGATATGCCATTGAAAAGCCATTAAAGCACATGAGAAAAGGGAAGGAGAAAGGGATATCACACATCCTGAGCACCTGCTAGGTGATAAATCCTCTGCAGGCCCTTTTCCTTTTAGGCTCTCCTTGAATCTCTACACCACCACAAGGGCATGGCTGTGTAGTGATGCTTACAGATATTATATAACTTCTCACAGTCACAGCTAATAAGGGGAAAGCCAGGTATTCAAACCCAGGTCCACATGGCTCTGTTCCAGTCAAGTTCTCTAGTTGCAAGAGAGAACTAGCAGAAGTAAAAGGGTGGGGTGTTATGCCAACAGTATACGTGGTGAGAGATTAAGAATTGAGTCTATCTGGGAAAAGCAAGAACAGAAGCTGATGACAAGGTGAGACTTCTTGCAGACTAGAACTGCAAGGTGGCTTGGATTTCAAGACAGCTCCAGGAACCTCACTGACAAGTAAACGCCCTATATTTTCATTCTCCTGCTCAGGCAGGTGCCAGATGGAGCCACAGTCCAACTTCCTCAGCTGGCTCAGAGTTTCTGATTACTCCAAACTTTCATCCCTCTACCTTTTATCTTCAGCTCCCACTGCCAAGGCCAGGAAAATTCCTTTCCTGCTTCCTATCTCTAAGTCCCAAGGGAAAAGTCAAAGCAATGGTCAGCCTACAGCCTGTGTGCTCGGGTACCCAGCCCGACCTAATCAGCTGGGCCTTAAGCTTGCTTCTCCTCTGCCTGGAGACTGATGGGTCCTCCATGTTTAGGACTCAGCTTACCTCCTCAGAGAAGCCTCCCCCTCCATTTGGCCACTGACAGTTTTCCAACACTCCCACACACACCTCAGCTTTCAGTAACCCTCTCAGCACATTACCCTGTATTTAATTTCTTTCCTTCTTAGCACTATCCAAACTCATTTCATTTGTTGCTCTCCTCCAGGAATACAAGCTACATAAAGGGAGGAACCTTGTTTGTCTCCTTCTTCCCACGCCCCAGGACTCAGAACTAGGAGCTACAGCTCCCTGCAGGCATTCAAAATAACAATCTGATGAATGAATGACTAGCCAGCCAGATGGCCTGGCAGTAGAGGGCTCTATTCTCGGGAGGGGTGGCTAGAGGGGGTCTCATGACTTGAATATCTAGTCCAAGTGCTGGGTCTTTAATGATTTCAGATTGCTTTCATATAGCCTCACGACTACACTATTGGTCAGTATTTTTCTTGGCTTTATTTTATATGTGAAGAAAGAGATTCAGAAAAAGTTAAGTGACTTGCCCAAGGCCACTCAGTAGGTGTCTGGACCCAGAATGGAAGCATATCAGCCAGACCCCAAAGGCTTTGAGCTTCATATTGTATCTCTCTTCCTCCCACCAGAGCAAGTAGGATGAAATAGATAGACTTGGTCACCACACTCTAGAAGGACATTAAACAATACAAAATAAAAGTCATTATTATTTCGCTTCCCTGGGGCTGGTCATTAGGGATCTCATTATTCCATTAGTGGCACCAGCTACATCACAGTCAGGAAATGCTTAGGTCAATCTGAGGATAATGGGTTCACTAAGGCCCACCAAGGACACGTGGTGTAACCTTCTCAGACCTCCTCGTGGTGACCATTGGAGGACAACCATGAGCTCCCACGCAAGTTCTCCTCAGAACGTTCCCCCACGGCTAAGGCACACACCAGCACAGGAATCTCACGCCCATTAAACCAAGTAAGATTTGTGGAAGGACCTCAGGTACATGTGAGTTCTCAAACTTCAGTTTCTTCCGTCCTCGATTATCACTTGTTACATACTTACTGAGTATGAACCGTTGTTATGGAATGAACTGTGTCTGCCCAAATTCATGTGTCGAAGGCCTAACCCCCATTGTGACTCTATGTGGAGACAAGGCTTTTAAGGAGGCAGTTAAGATTAAATGAGGTCCTAAGTGTGCGGTAATAATCCAACAGCATTGATGTTCTAGATGAGAGAGAGAGAGGAGAGTCCTCCCACCATGTGAGGACGCAGATGGAAGGTGACCCTCTGAAAGCCAGAAAGAGGCCTGGCCAGGAACCACACCTGCCAGCGCCCCGTCTCAGACTTCCCAGCCTCTGGGGCTGTGAGAAAATAAATCTGTTGTCTAAGCCACCTTCTCTGTGGTATTTTGTAGTCGCAGCCCTAGCAGACAGAGGCAACTGTCTCCTAGGGACTATAATACTGCTGTGCTCCTAAATGCTGAACTTCACACCTGGGAAACACCACAGCCCCGAGGGAACAGCTTTTCTGCACCTGCTGGTAACCCAAAGCCACATCAGACTGCAGTGCTGCCAGGCTCTGCCAGCTGGGGGACAGCCTGGCCCATGACACCCACATTCTCACCTTCCTGTCTCCTGACTCCCCTCCCATCTGCATCCTCTGAGCTCTCACGCCGTGTGGGACCCAACAGCTACTTATCACTATTTACGTCCACTCCGAGGACACTGCCCCCAGCAATCTGCTCAACTGCACTCATCCGGGTCTCTTTACCGGCCCTGCTCCGCCTTGACTCCCAGGTGTCCGGGCCAGTGGAACTGCAGCGCTGGACAGGATGGGCTCTGGGGTCAGGTGCCAAGAGTGGGATCCCAGCTGTGGCCTTGCTGAGGTTCCTACCTCTAAGCCTCAGCTGCCGCACCTGTGAAATGGACGTGGTAATAGTGCTCACCAGCGCCTGTGGAGAAACGTACAGACGACGGAGGAGACAGTCCACGAATGGGTTCTAAGACCGCCAGAAAAGGTCAGTTTGAGAGCGCTAGGCGGAGACCAGCCAAGTGGAGAACCTGACAGGCAATACGAGTTAGATTTCCCACGCGCCCTGACAGTTTAACTGAAGGCGGCGTGTTCCTTGTTCTGGCCTGCTTTCTCTCATTGGCCCCTCAACTGTCAATCAGGCACTGGCTCCGCCCCTGCCGTTCCAGACCATTTTCCCAGCCTGCTTCGCCCCGCCCCTTTCACGAGTGATCTCACGTGAGAACAGGGGCCCCAGCCCACCGAGAGGCCACGCCCTGGGCCGCGTGCCTCGCCCCGGGAGCGTCCCAGCTCTGCAAAGGGCAGCTGGAATGGATTGAAAGGAGAGCTGTTTCCCTTTTCTGTAAACTCTGTACCATCTGCTTGTGCTTGAACGGAATGTGTTCCAACAGCTCTGTTGAGCAGCATATGCAGCAAATATAGAGTCAGGATCAATTTCATTCAGAGGGTCTTGCCACGACAGCATCCCCCCCAATTAGGGGCCAACATTTGAGCCCTCTCCTGAGAGACCCAGGGGAAGTCCTAAAGGCAGCAAAAACGAGTCCCTCCAAAGCAGCTCAAAAGGTGAGATTTCTCAAGTCGTGCTCTCCTTAACTTTTACCAGTGGCTATAGGAACCTCCCTGTTACTGTCCACGTCTGAATCCACACCTAAGGATTTGTCCCAACTGGGTAACCCAAGACTCATTTCCTACATTTAACATAGACAGATGAGAGTTAACTTTTTTCTAAGTAGATGCTTAGCATAAAATGTGTTGTTTTGAAACAAACAACCACCAAATAATATGAACCTTAAAATTAGAGTGGGGGTATAAGGAAGGAAACGGGGTAGAGAATGACACTATAATATTTGCACTAGTTGTAAAACAGTTAAAAACAAATCAAAACTATAGATTTACCTGATGATGTTTTCGCAATTTCCTCTGAAAAATAATAAAATTCAATTTACTTTGTGCTTATTTACATGACTACTGCAAACCAAGTCCTGTTGAAGTACTTTGCCAAATAGATGATAATTAGAAAATATGTTTATGGAATACGAGAAACAATTTCATGAATTTTACAGCTTTAATTGTGATGATAAAGTATACTGTTTGTTCTACAATAAACTTGCAATATAGTATATCATAATCGCAAAAAACCTTTCTGTCAAGTCATACGGAAATGCTCTGAATTAGACAATGGGAAGTGTTAACAAATATTTGACTCATTTAATACATACTTTGGGCCAGGATAAAACCCAGTCAAGTGTAACATTCAGCATTTTTCTTAATAAATTTTAAATTGCAGTTTAAAATAATTCCATGTTGGTTGTATTTGAGCTGGAGAGAGGAGACATCTCAGGGTCAGTGCACGTACAGAGAAGTGAAAGTGAATATAAAAGTTAGTCAGATTTTTGGCTTTATAAATAAATTGGGAAAAAAGTTTCTGCATTTTATTTGTAGGCTTGTATAGTAGTTGAGAACAAAGGTTTAAAAATCAGAAGTAAATTTTGATATACCTTCTCAATAGATTTGAATGTACCATATACAGTATTTTTAGAAAGGACTTTATGCTCATCTGTTTGGAATTATTGTTTTGTGTGGTTTTTCTCCATGACTGTGGGCATTAACCATATTTTATATGATGGTTTTCAGTGCTTTAAACTCCCATAGCAACTAGTTATTTAGCAAATAATGATAAAGTTATTTAGAAAGGAACAATGACTTCTTGTATATTTTATTTTAACAGTTTTGAAGAGAATTGAAGGAACAGATTTTTAATATATTTAAATTTAATTGCTTCTTAGCATTTATAATTGTGATTTATATTTAATTAATAAACTTTAAAGTAGCTCTAAGTAACCTTGTTGTTTAAAAGTGACAATATATAATCTGATATTTCTAATATGAATACTTTGTTTCATTTTACCTCATATATAAATTAACTGAAAACAACTCATTTTACCAGGGAGTTTTTCTATGTTGCATAAGTGTGGAATTTACCTAATTTAATTTCATTCTAAGGAGATGGCAAAGTAATATCTAGGTAGGTAGCTAACACATATTTAAGCTTTATGTAATTACTCTAAAATGCATCATTATAATATCTCCTAGGAAGAAATCTTTAAATAGTACCATAAATAAATTGTTTGGAATTTAAGACCAAAAAGGAAAATGAATTACCCTCTAGATTTCACTGTATTACATTTTTTGAATAAGTAGAAATGTTCCTATCACCTTCTCTTAATTTTAAAAAATGAAGGGAAAGTCTTCAAAATCTTTATTGACAAAAGGAAAGCTGAGACTTGTGCCTAATTTACCACCTAAAGCAAATTTTTTAAAAAACTGCTGTATTCCCAAGTAAAGATAGATTAATTGTTAGTGACTTTAGTGATAAGCATTTTTAAATGACCCTACTAGGTAACTCATCTTCCTGATAATTCTTCATGTGTGTGCATACATTCTTACAATTTCCAAAGCAGAAGTAGGTTTTCTTTTTTCCAAAGAAATCCTTCTCTTAAATCTCTCATTTTTCCAGACACAATTATTTCATGCAATTCTGTTATAAAAGTCCCTCCCATAAAAATAAATAAATACATTTTCTCACAACATGACTGTTATTTTTCCTCAGTTTTGTAAATTATGTTCATTTGGAGAAGATAATACTTTGAAAAATATGAATGACATTGATGAATCATTCATGGTATGTGGAAACCTAAGGTATGTTCACTTTCAGATCAGTACTTGTTGAATATGCTACTACTCTATATAAACATGTTCAAACATATCTGTTTATTGAGCATATATTGTGTTCTAACAAAACATTGTTAGGATTTTGAAATGCAAATCTTTTTAGAAAAAGTTGTATTTTTAATAAAGTTAGATAAACATACCCTACTAGACTGACCAGAGTAGATATAAGAAGTCTTCTGTGATTAATAAATTGGATGTTTTCCTGAATACTGAGATTCACACACAATGAAAAATACATTACAAAAACTGGTAAGTATATGAGAAGAAAAAAGTCAAAAACTAGAGAAAATGCAATATATACTGGACTGCTGCTGCTGTTGTGTTTAAAATTTCTCACTACTTGAAGTTTCTTTACTTACAAAGTTTGTGTTTGGACTTAGTCACTGGCCTTGGTGCATTTGAAAGCAAAACTGCTTGTTAGAAAATTAACAGTGAGAAATTTGACAATGCATGCAGAATGTGACAAGACCACGTGGACAACTACTAAAGTATCCATCACTTTAATTTCAGACCATATTCAGTAGAAAATTGACTTATGTAATACATAAAACAAATGTTTTTATAAAAATACAGTTTGTTATGCTCAGAACTTTTGGAAGACAAGAGAAGTATTCTTCAACCTACTTTGATTCCCATGGATGCCCATTATATGACAACTGTAGTCATTCCTGAGGAATCCAATCTGAGTGCTCAAAATTTATACCTGAACCAGTTTCATATTGTTACCTTAAATAGAAGGAAAGAAATCAGAAGATAATGTTTGCTAAATAATTAATTTATCCATGTGTCTGTGTGTATATGTTTTTATCCTTTTATTTATTTTTTGCTGTACACCTATGGCCAGTTGTCTCTTGATTTTCTTTCTTTTCTTTTCTTTTAGTTTTGTTTTCCTCTTATGGTTGTGCTGGATAGAAATACTTTTTATTTGCATATTTCTCATGTTTGGAGAGAAGGAAGTTATAGTCTCACTTAATTTAGGGATTTGTTCCTTTTTAATCATTAGAGAGAGGGGTTGTCACTAAAAATCTTCAGTGCTTAAAGTCAAGTCAAGTTCCTGTTTAAGTTTCAAACCAATTCTCACTCAGGGACTTTTAGGAAAAATTTTTTTCTGAAGTTGAATTAAATGTTATTAGAAGAAAAATGAATATAGCAAAATCTCAGGTATAGGATAACCCCACTTTATAATGTCACAGATTTGCTTACTCTTCCTTTTGACTTTAGATGTAGTGGCCAGACCTAGATAGCAAAGTGCAGAATGAAAACATCTAGGTAAAGTAGCTATAGTTCAAATAATCTGTTCAGAATAAATATTTAATTTCTATCTTCAATTTGCTATAAAAGAAATCCTGATATGAATTGAATGTTATAAAGACTGCTTCATATTCTTTCTAATCATTTGCATTCCTAGAAATGTGGTTTATTTTTCATAAATCATTGCTAACACCAGTCAGATATTTTAGGAAGAGAAAATGTGGGTTTTATCATTTCAGATAAATCATTTGGCATAAAACTGAGTGAGGACAGAATTTCCTTCAGAATATAATAGGCCTAACTATGAAAAGTAACCAACATCATTATAGGTGAGTCAGGGAAAGGTGATGCTGGAGTTGTCATATAATTGCAGCCTATGGTTTCTATAGTGCCAATATGATTTAGTTTGATTCCTTTGTCTTTTAACAGGCAGGTAAGTTCCATTTTGGGATTTAGAGCCCTATATAAAGCCCAACTACTGTCTCCATTATCTTGATATTTTAGGCTGACTTACCTAAGCAATTGACTCATTTTTTTACTTTACCAGAGAAGACAAAGACTTAATGCATCAGCAAATTCTCTCTGGCAATGACTTTTTTTGTCTTCACAGATGATGATCCAAATATGGGAGATTCAAATACATTTGAATTAATTTGTGAAGTAACTTTATTTCAAGGAACCCATAGTTCTAATTCTCTGGACGCTATCATGCTTCTGAACTCTTCTGTACTGGAAAACTCCTTATTAGTTTGGCTGATCTACATTCCTGGCTCATTTGTGCCTCAAGCTCTCAATAGATCCTTTTGTTAAGGAGATAGAATATACCAGATTGGTATTCTATTGCATTTCAGTTCTCTCTTGAGAATAGTTGGATGCTGAAGTACCATTTACACCTGTCTTGTCTTGGTAGTTGATGTCTGCAGTTTCCAGAGCAGAAGACACAAGGTGGAAACTGAACTGCACTGTCCTAGATTCTGAAGTTTTTGGTAGGAATCTTTGTTTTGCCAACCAGGAGAAAAAAGGAATGGAGAGCTAACTATGTTCTAGGCTATGGCTTTATTTCATACTGCTTTAGTACACTGAAAAATTTTGAATAGCATGTTCTATTTGATTTAGTTAAAAGTAGTGTGGGCCATCTCTTTTGTCTAAGATAATAAGAAATTTGTTCAGAAGGTAATCCCTGTGAAATCTTGGTATCTTTGCTATTGATTTTTCTGACTATAAAAGAGGCAAAGGGAAGATCTGGAGGAGGAGAATCTTAATTTTTAAAATGATAACTCTTTCTGTTATTTTGGCTTTGGTTTTAATTTAGTGTTTGTATGCGTGCAGATGAGTGTGTGCAAAATAATGACATAGAAGTTGCAATAAGGGCTTCCTTGAGTAAGTCAAACACGGACCTGGGGAGGCAGGCAAGGCTGAGTCCTAAAGGGCCTTGCGAGGCAGCCTAAGGAGTTGGGGCTTTACCTTAAGAGCAATGGGGAGCCCTTGAAGGGCTTTGAGCTCCAGAGTAACCTGATTGAATACACTGATGTTGGGGGCCATCCATGCCCATGCCTCAGGCCATGGGAGGGCTGCAGGCCTCCAGGGGTCAAAGGTGCTCATTTGTCAAGACTGGGGAGGGAGAAGAGTGAGCAGGAGGACCTGGCTGGTAGAGGCCTGCAGGGAGAGCCCAGCGCTGGGCAGTTTCCAAAGCCAGGCACTAGCCAAGGCAGTCTGATACTGGGCCTTGCACCCAGTGGGGCAGGGGCGAAGGGGGCTCCTTGTGGGGACCTGGCCAAACTGGTAGGGTTATGACAGCTTTCACTGAGCCCCCATGGTGTGCCAGACATGCCTCTGAGCATGTCACATTCAGTATCTCTCTTGAGCCTCATCACAAGCCTATGACATAGTATCCTTGTCTGCAGATGAGGAAACTGAGGCACAAGTAGGCTACACAGCTGCCTGAGGTTGCCACACTAGTAAGTGTCAGGTGCCGGCTTAGAATCTGAGCAGCCTGACTCCAGAGCCTACACTGTGGCCTGAGCTGGCTTGGGGCAGCAAGTGCACAGGTAGATCTTACCTGCGACTGCTGAGCTGCCGAGGAAGAGCAGACATCCCCTGGGCACAAGCCAGACCAGGAACAGGATTGGGGGGATGAAAGAGCCACACCCTCCTTCTTTAGGGGGGTGTCCCCTTCCACACCTCTCTTGTAGAGACAAACTCTGTCTCCCAGCTTCTCTGGCAGCCCCGTGACAGGGAAGGCAAAGGTGCGGCCGCTCCTCTGCGCCATCACAGAATGTGTTAGAGAGATAGAGTCACGGACTCTGGGTCACCTTTTCAGTGAAAATGTACATGTCTGGATGGGCCCAGCCCTGGGCAAGACCCAGCTGGAACCTGAAGCTCCTTCATGCTAGCAGGGGACCATGATAGAAACCTCTGGGGCTTCCTTCCCACTCCAGGCTGACATCCAGGGCTCTGATTCCAAGAACATTGCCCCCCACTTTTTCCTAAAACCTTAGAGTGGGAAGTGGGCCTGAGGCTTCTTGATGTGGGGAGATCAGAACCATCCAGGGAGCTGCTTACAAACAGTGTCACCTCGGTGACTCAGCCCCATGGCCCAGCCAGTCGCTGCTGCACCACAGCCCCCTAATGCCCACTTGAGTGCAGAGGGAAGCCCCTGTGGGGGATTCCCAAAGCTAGACACTGAGAGCTGGGACGCCCCCACATTCCCAGATGACCTGCGTTCCTGCGGGTAAGGCTTCCTTTGGTGGAGTGTTCCGGGAACCCATTCCCTGGGAAAGGCCGAGTCATCGGTAGAGCGGGGACGGTCAACAGAGCTCAGCTCTGAGTCAGACTGTGGGGGAGGTGCCGGCACTACCACGTGCCAGCTGTGTGACCTGGGCAAGCTCACCGAGCCCTGCGCCCTTGCTTATAAGATGGGCATCCATACTCACCTGGCACAGCTGCTGGGGACGTCCAGGGGACAACAGTGCATACAAAGCACCTGGCACATACGATGTGCCAAAATCACTAACAGGAGGAGCAGCAGCACATGACTCCACAAGCGAGGGGTACCATGAGTCTGCCCACATTTGGGTAGCATCTGGGAACACGTGGGTTCTCTTTGGTTGAAATTTCCACAGGAATTACTTTTAACAATTTCCGCTGTGAAACACAGTGCTAAGAAATCAGGAAGACATGCCACCAGACATTTGAACATCAAGCGAAGGGGACAGAGTACAAGGTATTTAGCTCTTACTCAAAGGAAAGATCCTTACAGCCATACCATAGATGGGAATCTGTTCTGTATTTTCAGGATGTAACCTAGGGCTTGGCTGGCTGGATGGATGGATGAGTGGATGGACTGATGGATGGGTGGGCGGGTGGATGGGTGAGTGGGTCGGTGGCAAAGTAGATGGTTAATGGGGGGCGGTGCAGGGGATAGGTGAACAGGTGAGTTGGAGACCAGTCTCTATGTGACTATAAACTCCTTTCCATTTGAGGATGTCTGAGTCTTTCTCTAATTCAGTGCCCATGTCCAAACTCCATCCACTCTCTACCACCCTTCCTCCAAAACGTACATACAAGGGTCACTCATCTTAAGCAACTGAGACAAAGCACAGGGTGCAAGTGTAAAGATTCCTCAGGCAAGCCTTGAATTACAGGCTTGGAAGTCACGAGCCCAAGTACTCCAGTTACCTGGTTTATGTCACAGTCTGCATTGCGCCAGCCCCCCAAGCTCGTCTGCCAGCTCTCACGGCAGCGCATTCAGCTCCAGGAAGCCCTTACTCAGGTGCTCTTTTTCCTCTTAGCTTTGCATGGGTCTGTCCTTCCTGTTGCCTATGGATGGTGCTGCACCTGCCTTCAGGTACACAGGCAGGGACAGGCGTTTATGTGGCTTCTCCCCACACACTCTGGCTCCGGCTGCTCTGGCCTGCTGGCCAAGGGGCTGGAAGGCTCTGCACTGGCCTGCAAGGGCCCAGCTGCTCTCAGAGCCCAGGGAAGGTGCTCACCTTGCCGGGCAGGCCACAGGATGGCCCGGGAGCCTTCGCTGCCTTCCAGGCTCCTTCCTGCTTTGAGCAGGCCTGGCTCTCTTGCAGGCTGAACAGGAGGGTGTCTGTCACGGGAAGGGCAGCTCCCACTTCACCCAGACCCTGACACAGAGACCCTCTACGAAGTCACAAAGGGGATCAGTGAGTGGCATCTGCAGCCTCGCCAGGCTGGGCCTCTCTGGGGCTTCACCTCTCTGCTCAAGACCCCTCCACTCACAGCCCTGGAAAGTGGGTGCTGAGGACAGCCAGGGAGTTGGGGTGTCCCCATGGTACTCTGAAACTGACTTCAGTACCCAGAAAATCACACATGTCCCAGGTTCCCCAGCAGTGGTCGGCACCTGCCCCCCAAGCCTGGATGTGGGGAGGGCGGCTGTGGATCCATGAGCAGCGGGAAAGGGGGAGGCCACCTGCTGTATGTCCTTGTGCAAGCGACTTCACCGTCAGTCTGAGCTTGTCACTTATAAAACAGCCCCAGGAACTCTGGACCCGTGCGTGTGTCTGTGAACTCTGGGTGGGGTGGTGCTGGAATAGCGCCTGGCTTGGGGGTGTGGAGGATTGTGGGGCCGACCCAGGGTCCCCTTGCCGCATGCTGCTGGCCACAGATGGGCTTCCTTCTGTCTCCAGCTTCTGCCCTGGGCCACCCTCAGCATTCCTGCAAATGGGCAAGGGCTGGCCCAGCCCTAATCTCACCCCAGGCAGGATTTACCCCTGAGCTGGCTCTGCCTGATAAACTGGGCGTTAATGAGAACCACCATTCCTAGTAAAACATTCCTAGTAAAACATGCCTGTAAAACATTTTCATGGCCTCCACATTCAGTGAAATCTATGCCATTATCTCCACTTCCAAATGGGAAAACAGAGGCTCAGGGCAAGGCGTAGCTGGGCCAGGCCTCAGACCCAGAGGTCTGGGTTTAGTGGGATTGCCCCTGCTGTGACCAACACCAAAGAGGGCAGGGCAGGAGACCTCACTTGGCCAGGTGCCAAAGGCCCAGGGGTGGTATTCAGAGCTAGCTGATCCTCCTATTCTGTGGCTGTAAGGGTGGACCTGGGACACACCCCAGCACTGTGTGGGTGCAGGTGGTATGGGAAATAGGGAGGTGGATTTCCTAAGTGTGTTTTTTTTGCCTTGAAATTGTTTTGGGCTTTTGGGGTTTTCCGGTTGGGTTTTGCCCCTTGTTCGGCCCCCAGGCGGTTGCTTTTTCTTTCTTGGCCCGGGGCGTTGCCTTGGGGTAGGGGGGTGGTCACACTGTGCACCCCTGCAGCGACCAATGAGCAGGCCATGACCGAGGTGCTCACCAGGAGAAGCAACATGCAGAGGCAGCAGATCACCAAGTCCCTCAAGGCTCAGTTTGGCAAGGTAAGGGGGGCTGGAGGGATGCCTGGGGTGGGGGCACAGCCTGGGATGCAGCTGCACCTGGAACAGGCCTTTCCCTGAGCCAGCCCACAGGAAACATGGGCACATGGGACCTGCTTACACCAAAACAGTTCTCCTTTATTTATCAGAAATTCCAATCTAATTGCCCACCCTGTGTTTTACCTGGCAGCCCTGTTGATAGCTGCCCAGAGCCCTGGCCTGGCTTTAGCCCCCTGTGGCCTGGCGCCACCTTCCTTTCCCGCCTCTCCCCCTCCCTCCCTGAGCTCCTTCACACTGCCCCAGGGGCCCCAGTGGGAGCTGCCTCCTGCCCCAGGCTTTGCTCTCCCTGAGCCTTGTCCTCCCTTCTCTTTCCCACCAGCTCCGTCCAGTGCTGTGGCTGTGTGCTGTCCTCACGTTGGAGCTGCTGTGCCCATGTCCTGTCCCCTCTGCCACCCAGAGGGGAACTCTAAGGGCAGGGAGCAACCAGGCCAGACCCTTTGTTTCTCCTCCCAACTGTCCCAGCCCTAGGACAGAGCCAGACGTGTGGGGACTCAGCGAGCACAGGAGTGAACATGTGCACAGCCATGGTTGCCTGGAAGCCTCCACTGGCTCAAATTGAGTTTGGAGATTTAAGGAAAGAAAGTCAGTGATGAAGCCCAAATATCCCCATGGAGAAAGTGACGTGCATTTTAGTTTCTCTCTCAGCCCTCACAGCTTGGGGACACTGATGTTCAGAGAGGTTGAAAGTCACCCGAGATCCCAGACCCTGTAGCAGCAAGGTTGGGAGGCCAGGCCTGGCAAACCCAAGCTCCCAGGTGACAGGGGCCATTTGGACACCTGGGACTGCACCTACACCCGTGCCAAAGACTCATCCTTCCTAGAAGGCTTTAGTCAGAGAAGCGTGGGAAACAGGGCTGGAAGGAGGAAAGCAGGCCCTGGGAAGGCCCGGGTCTCTGCCTCCACCTCATGGTCCTGCTTCCCTGCAGACTACGGCTCCAGCCTGGCGGAGGACATCCAAGCAGACACAAGCCGCTACCTGGAGAGGACCCTGGTGTGCCTTGTGCAGGCTCCTGGGCATCGCCACAGCCCACCCCAGGGAGCAGCCCTTGAACAGAGCTGCTGGAGTCAGGGCAGGGGCATGGGACAGCCCCAGTGGCCTGGGCTCATTGGGAGTGTCTCAGTGTGTTTGAAGGGTCCAACAGCGGAGGCCCTGCACCTGTCCCGACTCAGCCACACACAGGTACCCTGGAAGTGGGAAGAGAGTAGGTCCCTCACGCATGCCCCATGCCAGGCCCCATGCTTCCCTTAGCTCACTGAATCCCCCATACCCTGTGGGGGCCCTGACTACCCCCATTGTATAGATGAGAAACCCGAGGCTTGGAGAGGATACCTGGCTCGCTGAAAGTCCCATGGCCAAAGAGCACAGAGCCCTGCCTGCCCTCCAAGCCTGGCCCTCCCCACAGCCCGGCTGCTCTGGCCAGCCTGGCTTACAGAGCCACCTCCCTGTTCCTAGGGCAGCAGGGATGACGTGAGTGGCTTTGTGGACCCAGGACTGGCTCTCCAAGATGACAGGTGAGACTGTGCCCTGCTGGCCACTCGGCCTCTCCCCCTGCCATCGACTCCAGCCCCTCTGCCCATGGGGGCTTTCTTTGACACTAGGCTGGGACCCACCCGGCTCAGGTCCCTGCAGGCCTTTGCCCTCTGCATCTGAGGATGACAGTGTTAGGGACCGGCCTTACTCAACCCCGCCGAACAGAAGGAAAGAGACACTGAGGATGTGAAATCACAAGAGGAGTTTTATTGTCTGGCTAGCCAGGGTCCGAGCCCTCGCGCTCCAACGCAGTGGTCGCTCTCTTTAGGGAAGGACCCCCACCTGAATTGCGGCGCGCCTTTTATCCCCAAAGGGCCCTAGCAACGCACAAACTGATCACGCGCTGGTCATGAGCTGACCTTTGAAATGATTAATTTCCTCAGTATCTTGTGCGACCCCTGCGCATCCCACCTCCCTTCCGCCACTCTTTACAACCCAAGTGATAACCGGAGGTAGAAGTGTAAGCAGAAGTGTGCTGTTCGCTAATTGCCTCGCCCTACTTCACACAAAGGGGAGGAAAAACTCCTTTCTTGTTGCGCCACCGAGGCGCCATCGAGGCGCCCCCACAACAGTGAGGGTGTTGGGGAGACAGACTGGGGGGGAGGAGTGTGATGTGGGGCGGGCGTGCTGAAGCCCTGTCCTGGCAGGAACAGCCCACACCCGGGGACGCCGGGGCTCAGGGCAGGGCCTGTGTGTCCAGGTCTCTGTAGGTCAGCCTGCTGGCAGGGCACTTGGTGGTCAGTGACGCCCGGAGACAGGGCACCAGGGAGGGGCTGTCCCTAGAGCAGCTGGTGTCTCCAGAAGAGCCCTGTGGGTGCATTTCATTTCTGGCCCTTTTGCCTGCCTGCCCGGGTTGGAGCTGCGCCCAGTGTCCCAGGCCTCCTTCCCGGTCCTGCCCCACCTGACACGAAGCCCCTTATTGGGGGATAGGCTGGGCTCAAAGACATGTACCCAGCCTGGCACAGTGCTGAGCCTGAGCAAGACATAAGTAAACAGTTGTGTGCAATGCTGCCCGCAACCTCCAGGCGTCAACAGGGCTCTCCTGTCTGCCCGTGAAATGCACCTGGAACCGCCACAGCTACTTTGCGGGAGACTCTGCTACGCCATGAAGGTAACCGTCCTGTCTCCTGCGCTCTGTACAGTGCTCACTACGCGGCACCAACTGCAAAGCCGAGGGGCTGAGAGCCACGTGGGCCTCGACACTGGGCCTTCTCTTATCCCAGCCTCTTGTGGGTCAGAAAGGTTTTAGTTCTCAGAGAGTAAGCCAAGTTTGGGAAAGCGAAGCCATGTCTCCGGGTGTGAATCCAAGCAGGTGTGCTCACAGGTGTTCATTGCACTGAACTTTTACACAGTCCTGGGTGACCCGTGTTGTACTTGCCATCCCAGAGGGGATGAAACTAAGGCTCAAGTTCAAGGTCACACAGTTGCCAAGTGGCAGAGCCTTGACTTCAACCCAAGCCAGCCCAATTGCCCTATTCACTGCACCACCTGGGCTCCCTGAGCGAGCTACTGGGGATCACAGGCAGGACTTGCAGGAATCAAGGCACTCTTGATGGACAGGTTCAGAGGGAGACTGCCACTCACAGCAGCTCAGCGTGTGCCCAGCTAAACACTCTGCCCTTGAGGGCTGTGGCAGTATGTGGGCCGCAGGCTACATCAGCAGTGGACAGGGCTAGACCCTTCCTGGCTGGGCACAGGGTGGCCCAAGGGACTGCAGAGAGCAGTCCCTCTTGCAGTGGGGTGTGGACCACAGGCTTGACTTTGTCTTGATTTGACTCCGTGCTCCAGGGGTGCCACCCTTGGTTTGCCTAGTGCCCAAAAGGCTGCGCTGGCTGCAAAAAGAGATGCCCAAACCACTCTTATCTGGTAGAGTTTCTGCTGTCTGCAACCCAACTGGAAGATAGATAGTAAAATTATTAATAGTTCCGTGAGACTGAAGTCAGTGTCTATCTTCTCTGACTTCTGGTTGCTGACACCCCCTGCAGCTAATATCTGGCCTCTGCCCTCTGGCAATGCCTGCCCGAGGAATGAGAGAGGGCATGGGATTCCCTGGGCCACGTGGCTCCAGCCGTCACGAGACTGGTCAGGGTGGAAGTGAGCTGGACGGTCCTGCCTGCAAGCCGGCAGGTAAGTCAGCGCTGCCGCTGCTGCTCTGCGAGGAAGCACGGCCCCTGGAGCAGCGCGCGTTGGGGGTCTAGAATCTGCGGTGGCAAACCAGACACATACTGCAGTTTGGGACCCTGGGCATCTACTAGAGGAAGAGGTGTGGGCAGTGAGTGAGAAGAGATTAAGGCAACGGACCCCTTAAGCCACCAGAGCATCCCTCATCCCGCCTTCCCCGCTGCAGCAGAGGCCCCTTCCTGCACCTCCCTCCCTCCAGCAGCTGCGAACCTGACACACAGATCTGTCCGTCACTACAGAGACGGCCAGGAAAGGCGAGACATGGCTGTTGACTGCCACTTTCTTGTCCAAGGAGCAGGGACACGCGGTGGGACCCTGATAAGGAAATCGGTTCAAGGAGTGAGATTGACTTAAACCTCATAAGTGTCAGTTCTAGAAGATGTACGGCCAGACCCTCAGCAGTGTGATCATGGTGAGCCCAGGGCCCCACTTCTCAGTTGGAAACGTAGACATTCCTGGGAGACTGGATGGCATACCCAATGCCACATGTGCTCATCCTTCCCAGTGGGCACCATGCACTTGTGCTCGTGACTTTGTGGTGTGGTCGGGGAACAGCAAGGAGGTCAGTGTGGCTGGAGACTGGGGATAAACACAGAGACCAAGGCAGGCCTCTCTACGGCTCGCCCACCCAGAAAGCTGGCTCTTCACTTGAGTTACGGTGGCGTCTTCAGAAATACACTAAATCCTCCCAGAAGGAGCCACATCTGAAGAGTTGATGAGAGTAAGCACTTGGTAGCCATCTGGGCCCACCACTCACGCCCAGAATTAAGTAGCCCTGGCAGCAAACTGCTAAGGAGATAAATCAAATGGGCTGCAATGGATTGCCTAACCAGACTGGAGCCTGCAAAATGCAGAGTGATTATCACGCTGTTAAAACTTCAAAAGAAATAGCTCATCTGGTGATGTATGCAGATTGAGTCATTAACGAAGTCAAATTATGAAAAATACCCCCAGGTCTCCATTGGCTACGAAGTCAAGTTTCTAGTTCTCCAAATGTCTGCTGTTGTTAACTACATTTGCCAAGAAACACAGCTGACAATATGTTTAAAGACAATTCTGCTTTAAGCAGGGCAGCAGGTCATGGGGCTGGGGCAGAGCTGGAGAAATGCTTGGGTTTGCCTTAGGCTCCCTGCCCAGCTCAGCAAGAGGCAGAAGGGCAAGGCACATGCCAGCCGGACACTGTTGTGTCACCCACAGGTGGTCCCTGCTGACTCCTCTCAACCACATGTGATTACTTATGACATCAGAGAGATTTCTAGAGATACATGAAGCCTACCCTTTTTGAATTTTGCCTAATGTTGTCACTTAAGAAAACTCAAGGCTGGGCTCGGTGGCTCATACCTGTAATCCTAGCACTCGGGAAGGCCGAGGCTAGGATCGTTCGAAGTCAGGAGTTCAAGACCAGCCTGAGCAAGAGTGAGACCCCCCCCATCTCTACTAAAAATAGAAAGAAATTAGCTGGACAATTAAAAATATATAGGAAAAATTAGCCAGACATGCTGGTGCATGCCTGTAATCCCAGCTACAGGGGAGGCTGAGGCAGGAGGATTGCTTTAGCCCAGGAGTTTGAGGTTGCTGTGAGCTAGGCAGACACCACGGTACTCTAACCCAGGCAACAGAGTGAGATTCTGTCTCCAAAAAGAAAAAAAGGAAATTCAGTTCGAATCATGAATAAATTGACCATTTTCCATTTAGTATAAACCACTTTCCATAGAGGTCATCAAAGCAAAAAATATCTCCAAGATGAGTATGTTTGTTAAAAACTCCTACAAAGAAATTAATAGGTGCAACAGGTGCACCCAGCCACGCACTGATACCGCTTGATCTATTACTTAACCAACACCTGCTACAGCAGTTCACGGAGCCAAGGCTGGGAGCAGGGTGCGCACTGCCACAGCTGGAGGCAGTGCCGTGGGGTGGAGAGAGCCTGGCCTTAGGGCCACGCAGACCTGGACACAGCTCTGTCCTGCACTGACCGTGTGGCCGAGGCAAGGCCCTCACCTCTCTGAGGCTCATCTATAAAGTGATGCTGATGACACTAGGCCTCTTCCCTGGACAGCCCAGTTTTTTTCCAACTGGCGTGACCAGTAGAGCTCTTCCTTTGAACCAAAATCCACTCCATCAGGGCCACCACTCTCCACTCTAGGGCCACACGTTTATTATTCTTGCCCAGTAACAACATTTTGGATATCTGAAGAAGGCTCACAAATTCCCCTAAGACATCTGTCAAAGCCCAATGTCCCCAGCCCTTCAACAGTCCTCCTGGAGCTTGGTTGGGTCTCTGAACATGCCCCACTTTGCAAACTTCCTCCTAAACTGCAGCCCTGAGGAGAGAGGACATACCCAGGAGCCAGGCCCATCAGGGGACAGGAGCAGTGAGAGCTCTGAGCTCCCATAGATTGGAGCAGGTTCTGGGTCTGCCCCATGTGGGCTCGGTGATCCTAACCTAGTCACTTGCGGTCTCTCTCCCCAAGCCTCAGGTTCCTTACCTTCCAATGCAGAGTAGGGTCCCCACTATAATTGCTGCATCCAAACCACCCCTGAGTTAGTGGTGTAAGACCGTCACTTTACAGTGCTCACAGGTTCTCAGCCAGGCACGGTGGAGATGGCTTGCCTCTGTTCCAGCAGGTCTGTGGTCTCTGTCGGGAAGACCTGAAGGTTGGGGAGACTCTGCATCAGGGGGTTGGAATCATCTGGATGCTTCTTCATTCACATGTTGGGTGCCTGGAGGAGACGGCTGGAAGGCTGGGCTCAGCTGGGACTGTTCCTGGAGCTCCTACACGTGGCATCACCCGCATGGTGGCCTCAGGG